GAAAATTAAATAAATGGCACTAGATTTAAAAAATAAAAAAGTTTTATAAAGAAATTTTATAAACAATTTGTATGAAGAATTTTTATAAAGAACTTTTACAAAGAACTGTTATAGAATTCTTTATACAAATTTTCCATAAAAAATAAAAAATTAAAGACTAAACATTAAATTTTATTTAAAATTAAATTCTATTAATAAATTAAATGCACTTAGATGATGGAAACAAAATTTGTATTTTTAACATAAATAAACAGTTTCTCAATAATGCTGTGTATAATTTTTTTTCTAAACTTATTAACATATCCTACTTTATACATTCCAATATATTTATTGTATAGTTCAGTCGCATAATTAAGTATCACGAGTAAATAAAAATTTTTATTTTCATACAACTTTATATTCGTCAAAAAAACAAAACTTTTCTATTTATAATAGATTTCTGTTTATGTTAAAGAAAAAAAACATAATTATTTTCAAATTAAAAAACACTGAAAAAAATTTATTCGAATCAAATAACCGATTATTTCTTTATAAGTGGTAATAAATATTTACTTGGATCAAATAATTTTTATTGAAGTCAATTAATATTTATTTGAACCAATAATTTTAGTATTTCAAGCGAATTTTTATTTGAATAAAATAAATATTGGCTTAAATAAAAATGGTTTGGTACAAATAAAAATTATTTTATACAAATAAATAAAAATTATTTTATACAAACGAATAAAAATTATTTGGTACAAATAAAAATTATTTGGTACAAATAAAAATTATTTGGTACATATAAAAATTATTTGGTACAAATAAAAATTATTTGGTACAAATAAAAATTATTTGGTACAAATAATAATTATTTGGTACAAATAATAATTATTTGATATAATAAATAATATTCTCAATTTGAATTTGAAAATAATTATTTTTACTTAAGTCAATTATTATTTTACTCAAATAAAAATTTGCTACAAATACTTAAATTATTGGTTCAAATACATTTTGAATTAACTTTAATAAAAATTGACTTAAATTAAAATAATTATTTTCAAATTCAAATTCAGAAAATTATTTATTATATGAAATAAATATTTCTTCGTGTCAAATAATTTTTATTTGTACCAAATAATTTCTATTTGATATATAATAAATAATTTTCTCAATTTGAATTAATAAAAATGTTCACTAATTTGTTTGCTTTTGAATTAACAAATTTTACTAAAAAATTAGTAGAAATTACTATTTATTAATAAAATTTGCTAATAGTAGGTACTTTCTAATAATTTATTAGTAAAATTTACTACTTAGTAAAATTTGCTAATAGTAATTTCTAATAATTTATTAGTAAAATTTGCTAATACTAATTTCTACTAATTTATAAGTAAAATTTGCTAATTAAAAAGAAAAAATCAGTCAAAATTCAAATTAGTAAACATTTTTCCAAATTCAAATTTAGATCAAAATAATCGTCTGTTTGAATCAAATAAATTTTTTTTTTTACTCTGTAAACTCTTTTTTTTAAATAAAATTTTCAAAATAATTTTCTTCAGAGAATAAACAAAATAAAAAAATTTTTCTTCTTTTTTTTCCCTTTTCTTTTGTCGTTTTACGAAATTTAATATAATTTAACAAATTTCAGTTCACTTCCTCGATGTTTTCCTCTAATGTGTCTGTAAATAGCTTGGGTATATTTGGAACGCATTTCACAATAAGGACACTTAAAACGAGGAAAATCAACGCATTCCAATCGATAATGTCGAGACAAATTTCCCGCAGAATGGAAAATTCGTGTACATCTCGGACAAGCGAAACCGCGTCCCCTTAATATTGTCTTCTTCATACACGTTATTGAATGTTCCGTGTCTGCTTGAAATTTTTGATAGAAGTCAGTTGTTGTGAATTCTGAAAACAAAGAATAAATATTTTTTATTGAAACACATTTTTCAAATTTACCACATGCAGTACACTAAAAAAACAAAAAATTATATTTATAATAATAGAAATTATGTTTTAAAAAGTAAGAAATTAAAAAATATTTTGGAAAAAAATAATAATTTTTGATAAACGAGAACAGGCAAAAAACTAATGTACAAAAATTTCGCGCAGCGAAGACTAATTCACAGAGATGCAAAATGTTTTTTTTGTTTAAAAATATTTTATACAATATATATTATATTATAATTAACTATTGACACTGTAATCTTATTTTTTACTCTCTTTTCATTTTATTATTATTATTTTTTTAAAACTATTTTATAAGCATTTTGTAACTATTTTGTAAGTATTTTACAACTATTTTACAATTATTTTACGATTATTCTACAATTATTTTTCGATTATTCTATAATTATTTTACAATTATTTTACAATTATTTTGTCAGTATTTTATAATTTTATAATAAATATTTTATAAATGTTTATAAATTCGTTTTTCACCAACAAGAAAGTGAGTAAAAAGCAGGCAGGGAAAAAAAGTAGTGACGCCGGGGAAAAAAGAGTCGCGCATGCGCGTTAGCGCCTGCGCGAGTCTTTTTTCCCCGGCGTCACTACTTTTTTCCCCCTCTTACTATTTTCCACCAATAGGAAAGTGAGACTAGCGCAAGCGCAGACGCTTATTCTGGTAACGGTCCTTACTTTATTAAATTAAATATTTTCCTACATTATTCAATACAATTCGGAATTATTCTACAAATATTTTTTTTACAATCAGACTCGTTTAATAATTGGCTTTTGGTTTTTCAACGTCAGGAATATTGTATCACAATATTAGGTCAAGCTTTCTCTACTTTATTACAGGAAAAATTTGTTTACCTAATTACAACAACAAAAATTTTAAATTAAAAAAAAAAAAAAAAAAAAATTGTTTTTGATTAGTTTTTTTTAATAATGGCTTTGGTTTTTATAAGTGGGAATTCGAATGACTTTGGAATCACCTAATTACAACAACAATTTTAAATTAACATTTTAATTACAAAATTTTTTTTTTTTTTTTTTTTTTAATAATGGCTTTGGTTTTTATAAGTGGGAATTCGAATGACTTTGGAATCTTGTCTCATGTCAATAATATAAACATCAAAATCGGAATGCATTCGTCGAACATGTCGGAAAACGTTGGACGACTTTTTACTCAATAAATTACAATAGGGACATTTATATTTTGGATCCTTATTGCACTCGAATTTAACGTGCCTGTGAAGGTAGTATTTATTTCGAAAAACACTCGGACAATTTTCACAGTGAAATCTTTGTAAATCTGTTGATTGTTCCTCTCCATTATAACCACCAAGAGGTGTCGTGTGAAAATTGTAGTAAAACGTATTCATCTCTGCAACTGAAAACAAATAGTAAACATTAAAAATTTGCTGCTCTCAATTCTAAAACAAAAAATTCAGTTCTTAATGTTCTACCAATTTTGAATTTGTATTTTTTTTCTAAATTCACTAAAAAAAAGTTCTTTGGTAAAAAAACAAATTCTCGCTTAGAAATAAAAAAAAATAATTTTTGAATTATATTTTTATTCACAAGAAAGACTATACAGTAGCAAGACTTTGTCAAAAAATTAATTATATACAATTTTTTTTTTTTTTTTTTTTTATTGGTAAAAATTGTTTTGCGATTTAGGAAAACGAGCGACATTTGCTTGCTCGCCACTTCTCTGGTCTATTACATAAAGTTCATAGTTCGGGTGATGTCGACGAACATGTCTGAATATATTCGACGATCTCTTACTCAATTGATCGCAATATGGACATTTAAATTTTGGTTCCAAATTACATTCGTTGTTGATGTGCCATTGCAGGCTTGATTTTCTTCCAAAGGAACTCGGACATTGTGTACAGGCGAATTGTCTCAAATTATCATTTCGAATCCCAGCGTAGGAATACGTTAATTTATTGGAGAAAGTTTGTTCCATTCTGGCAACTGCAAAAAACATCTGGTAATTAAAAATTACTTCTTTCTTTGTTTTTGTGAATTAAATTAGAAAATTATAGGATGAAACAGACAATAGATATTATATATATTATGTATTAAAAAAATTAAATGTATTTATTTATTACATGTATTAAAAAAAAAAAAAAAAAAAAAAAAAAAAATTACTCTTATGATTAATAATAAAGGAATTAATTAAGAAATAAAATTTGTAGGAAAGGAGAATGGTTCTCAAGTCAAATAAAAAAAATTTCACAAACTGTTATTTTAATAAAAAGTACAAAACATCCAAAATTTTCGTTTTTATAATAATTACACAATAAAAAAATTGTCGATCGAAACATTGTGAAACGAAATACATTGTGTTAACATTAATTTATGAATTCAGTATTTTTTTTTGTCTGAAAAATGATCCTACTTATAATGAAATGACAAAATGAATGCGAAAATTGTTTACGATGTACATAAAAATTGTTTTTAGATTCGTTTCTAATGAATTTGGGTTTTTTTTCTTTTTTGGAAATTTATTTTTGCCCCAATTCGGGAAGTAGGAAAATTTTCCCATCCGCACCGCTTCTCATGTCAATTAAATAAATTTGCGAATTGGGATGCTTTCGGCAAACGTGAGCGTACGCATTGGCAATGCTCTTAAATAGTACATTACAATAGAGACATTTATATTTTGGATCGAAAATACATTCGAAAGTGACGTGATTTTGGAGACTTAATTTATTTCGAAAAGCACTACGACATTTTGAGCAGGAAAAATTTTTTAAATTTGTTTCCGGTGATTCGGCTAAAGGATCCGATGTCATTTCATCGAAGTAAAATGTTTCCACTTCAGCAACTGCAAAAAAATCTCAATATTATTGCTTTGCACTAAATGTTTTTTCAATAAAAAAAAAAAAAAAAAAAAAAAAAAAAAAAAATTCTAAAAGGAGAAAATCTAACATTAAAAAAAATAGAAGTTAATGTTAAATGTAAAATTTAGTTCTTATAACAGTTTTATTTACAATAGAGAAAGTACAGAAATTTTTTTTGAATTTTTACAAATTTGTCAGTGAAAAATAATAATTTTATGGTAATTTTGGTAGACGAATGACCATTGCGTCTTCGCCACATCTCAGGTCAATGATGTAGACCTTGAGATTTGGGTGCTTTAGTCGAACATGTCTGAATGCGTTTGATGAATTTCGACACAATACGACGCAATACGGACATTTATATTTTGGATCCAAAAAGCATTCATACTTGATGTGCCTCTGAAGACTGGCTTTTAATCGAAAGACACTTGGACACTGTGTACAGTGGAATATTTTTGAATTATTGTCCGGAACTCCAGCATATGGATCGTAATAACCCATTACAGCAACTGCGAAAAAAATCTCAAAATTAGAGACTCATTTTTTTTTTTTTTGCAAAATTGTTTAATGAAATTTAAGTAACACATAATATTATTCACAATGGATTATGAAAAATGAACGAATTCCACAAAATTTTAGCATCATTTTTTTTTAAGGAAAGTTTTATTGTAAAATATGTGGATTATTTGAAAAAGCACCCGAGGGGTAAAAATGGTAGAATGATAATATTCAAGAAATCTTATTTGACATAAAACAGTTTAATTTAACTTTCGTTTGAGACGAAAAATTCATTTGACAAAAAAAAATTCATTTCACAAAAAGTTCATTTGACAAAAAATTCATCATTTGACAAAAAGTTCATGTGACAAAAAATACATTTGACATAAATTTCATTTGACAAAAAGTTAATTTGACAAAAAATTCATTTGACAACAAATTCATTTTACCAAAAATACATTTGACATTAATTTCATTTGACATAAATTTCATTTAGTAAAAAAATGTTTTTGGTTTGTTTGGCCTGATGGCCAAACAAACAAAAAACATCTTTTTACTAAAATATTTCTGGTTTTTAAAAATATTAATGATCTAAGAATTTCATTTGACATGAAATACATTTAACAAAAATTTCATTTGACATGAAATGCATTTAACAAAAATTTCATTTGACATGAAATGCATTTAACATAAATTTCATTTGACATGAAATTCATTTGACTTCAATTTTATTTGACATATAAATAAAAAATGTTAAATGAAATTGATTACAATATTCATTTGTCACAACATTTGTTTAATATAATTCTCATTTGACATAAAATTCACTTGGACACAAATTTTTATTTGACGTAAAGATTATTTGACATAAAAATATAGCCGCGAATTTTAAAATTGTCAAAATAACTATTTTTATGATAATATCTGATTAGTTACTTAATTCGTGCTGATATTTTTATGTCAAATGAACTTTCTGTGAAATAAAATTGATGTCAAATGAATTTTTTGTTAAATGAACTTCACGTCGAATAAAATTCATGTCAAATGAATTTTATCTTAAACGAACTTTACGTCAAATAAAATTTATGTCAAATGAATTTTTTGTCAAATGAAATTTAAAATTGAAATTTATGTCAATTTTTACGTTAAATGACAGGAATAAATTTCATGTTTAATGATACTTATGATAAACGTATTTAACGTCAAATGTATTTTTTGTTAAATGAATTTTTTGTCAAATGAACTTTTTGTCAAATGAAATTGATTTCAAGTGTATTTTATTGTTAGATAAATTTCATGTCAAATGAATTTTATGTTAAATAAATTTCATGTCAAATGAATTTTATGTTAAATAAACTTCACGTCAAATAAAATCTTTGTGAAATAAATTAATTTGACAAAAATTTTATTTGACGTAAAGTTCATTGTCATAATTTTTACGTTAAATGACAGGAATTAATTTTATGTTAACTGACATTTATGTTAAGTATTTTACGTCAAATATATTTTTTTGGCAAATGTTTTTTTGTCAAATGAATTTTTCTCAAATAAAATTAATGTCAAGTGAATTTAATTGTTAAATAAACTTCATGTCAAATGAATTTTATGTTAAATGAACTTCACGTCAAATAATTTTTTCGTTAAATGACAGAAATGAATTTTATGTTAAATGACATTTATATTAAACGTATTTTACGTCAAATGTATTTTTTGGCAAATGTGTTTTTTGTCAAATGAATTTTTTGTTAAATGAACTTTTTGTCAAATGAATTCTTTGTCAATTGAACTTTTTGTCAATTGAATTTTTCGACACGAATCAAATTCATGTAAAATAATTTTTATGTCAAATGAGAATAAAATCACAATTACAAAAAGATGATGATGGATGGAATACACTAAAAGTAATATGACGAAAGTTATTATATTTTCCTATAATATACTTGCGTGTACATAATAATTAAACACAAAAATATTGTAGCACATGCAATACAATAGTATAAATTCACAATTTTTTTTTTTTTTTTTTTTTTTTTTTTTTTTTAATAATGAAATTTTTCTTTTTTTTCTTTTTTTTTTATAAAATTTTCTACACTTTTCTCGAGGCTAACTTAGGAAGTCGAACGACTTTCGCGTCCTCGCCACTTCTCAGATCAATTATATAAACTTGACATTTGGGATGTTGTCGACGAACGTGTGTGTAAGCATTGGACGATTTTTTCGTCATATGATGACAATAGGGACATTTATATTTTGGATCCAAATTGCATTCGAATTTGATGTGCCTCTGAAGACTTGGCTTTGTTCGAAAAGCACTTGGACATTGTGGACAGGCAAATTTTCTCACATACTTCCCACGTATTTCCGCATAAGTTAGTCTTTCATCATTATTGAAAGGTGTTTTCAATCTCGTATCTGAAAAAAGAAACTTGACAATTAATTTTGGTTTTGTTTTTCTAAAGAACAATTTTTTTTTATATAAATAATTTTTTTTATTAGGTAAAGTTAAAACAAATTAGTTGGAAAATTAAAATTCTAGCTCTGTTATTTTGTTCAAACAGTTAGAAATGAGTTTCTGTAAAAAATAGTGAATAAAGGAAGTGAAAAAAGTTTAAAAATTTTTTTTTTTTAAATGCTTAGAGGATTTTTTTTTATTCTGAAAGTTTTCTTTTTTTCATAAAATTTTCTACACTTTTCTCATATTATTTTTAGTAGAAAATTTTATGAAAAACAAGAAAAGAAAATTTTCTTCACTGCAAAGAAGATGCTGCTGCTTGTCAATAATAAGGTTAATGAAGAGTAATTATTATTTTAAAGGTGTTGACTTTAATGTTTTAATACAACAAAAAGTTTGTCTTTTTTACAATTACTTTGGAATTTTACAATAGAAAATCACTTACAAACTACAGTGGTAGAATGTGACGGTACTTGTTATATTTCAGTAACTTTCTTCAATAATTTTTTTTTTTTTTTTTTTTTTTTTTTATAAGTCAGAACATTTTATCACAGTACAACTAGAAAATTAACTTTTAATTTACTTTTAACGAATGCAAGTAGTTTATAATTAATACAGTACAGCACAAATTCAACAGAAATTTGCCCGGTAACATTTATTGTAAATAATTCTCAAAAAAAAAAAAAAAAATTCAACAACCTGTAGTACAAACGTACAGAATTATTTCTAAATTTAATAATTTTTCTTTTTTAAGTATATACATGTCTTATTTTCCACTTTTTATAATTTTTCTTCACTTGTTAAATTTAAATTTTTTTTTTATTTTTCTTCATTTGTTAAGTTTAAAAAAAGAATTTTTTTTATTTTTCTTCGTTTTTTAAATAATTTTTCTTCATTATTTGTCATTCGTCATTTATTCCGCGACAGATAGAACATAAACTTTATAGCCTTTATGTACAGTTTTAATGTGTCTGCAAACGTTTGCCTTCCATTTTCCTTTGTATGGACAATAAGCACAGCGAAATCTCGGTTCCAAACCACATTCGTTTCTCAAATGTCTTTTCAATGTACACATCCAAACAAAAACACTTGGACAGTTGGGACAAGGGTACTTCTTCAATTCAGTATTAGTGCGTCTCTTTCGCCTCTTGTAATAAAGATCTGAAAAGAAGAAAAATAGAAAAAATTAGAAAAAAGAGATTCTTATGTTAAAAAAAAAATGTTGTGAAATTAATAAATTTTATTAATGTCGCATTAAATATTTTTTTTGAAGCTAACATTGAAAATTTTTATTTAGAAAATTTTTTACTCTCTAAATTTGAGTTAGTAAAAATGTTCACTAATTTGACTTTTTGCTTTTTAACCCCTTCACTGTCAGTGGGCTCTATAGAGCCATAAAAATGTCGTGCCCTGTATGTCCATGGGCTCTATAGGGCCATCGAAAAAAAAGACATTTAAAAGTTAACGAATCTGGATAAAAATCCTTACTCGGGGGTTTTCGGGGTCGCTGAATCCAAATCCGTTGTCAAAAATTCAAAATTCAAAATGGCGGCTTCAAAATGGCGCCCAAAAAAATTTTTAAGTTAACGAATCTGTCTGAAAATGCCTTAAAATGCCTACTAGGGGGTTTTCGAGGTCGCTGATTCCAAATCTGTGGTCAAAAATTTAAAATTTATAATGGCAGCTTTAAAAAGTCAACAAAAAAAATTTTTAAGTTAACGCATTCATTAACTTTTTAATTTTTTTAGGTCGATATTTTGAAGCCGCCATTTTGAATTTTGACTTTTCGACCACGGATTTTGAATCAGTGACCTCAAAAACATATAATAAGACAATATCATGATTTAAAAAAAAAAATTTTTTTTGAACACTTATGGCACAAAAACTTTATTTTTACTCGACTGTGAAGGGGTTAATTCGTAAAATTCACTAATAGTAATACTCATAATTATTAGTAAATTTTACTAATAAATAGTAATTTTTTTTTTTTTTTTTTTTTTTTTTTTTTTTTTAATTTGAAAGCAAACAATTAGTGAACATTTTTTACTAATTAAAATTCAAAGAGTTCTTGATTCATTTTATTTATTTCACTGTAATAATTGTTTAATAATAATAATTGTTATTACAGATAGCAAATAATAAGCAACATTTATAAAGTGAATTTAATAAAGCGTTTAAAATGTAAGAGATGATAAAATTACTAAATGCGTCAAAAACATTGTATTAAGAAAAAAATAAAAATTTTGTCAATTATTACAAGTGAGAAAATATCAATTAGATGCGAATTTATCAAAGAAAGCTTTTTCAATTATATAAAATTTGGGTGTAAAATAAAAAAAGAGCACGTGATGATATCTATTTTTATTTAAATTTAAATTTTAAAAAGAGAAACACAAAAATGAGGTATTTCATATCCTCAAATATAAACAAATATTTTTTGAACTTATTTTTAAGTTTCGTACTGGTTTTTTTTTTTTTGTAAATTAAAATAACATTTCTGTCATAACATATTTATAATTATTGATAATAAATTGAGAAAAATTGATTACCTACGGATTATTATAAATATCCGTAGAACAAGATTTTGAGATTGTACATTAATTATTATTATTACAAAAAATATTTTGCTGAAGAAATTGAAATTTTTAATTTTGTGATGATAATAATTTTTGAAATTTCTCACGCTTCTCGTAATCTAGTTTTCGCAGTTTGGGCTATATAAACAAATTAGACAATGAAAAATATTCGGCTTTTACAGATAAAAAATTGTTATTTTTGTTAATTTTTTTTTTGTATTGGATTAATAAAATTTTATTTTAAAAAAGTTTTTTATTAATTTTTACTATGGAAGGAAAATAAATAGTTAAAATTTTATTGAGATGACTTAAAAATTTACGTCGGTGAATCAAAAAACTGAAATATATTTTTGCAAAAAATCTTTTATAGAAAAATTCGAAAAAATTTAAATAAAGAAAATATTTCTATCATTATAAACATTATTAACTTTACCAACGTAAACATTTTTCTTACAGAAATATCTATCATTGTTGCAGTGAAAAATAAATTTATTTGCTTCAAATAATGAATTCGTTAACGTTTATGTGTTTTTGCAAAATTAAAAAAATTTATTGACTTAAAATTTCTAATTTTTTTATTTATGTTTTTTTTTTGAAGAATTTATCGAATTTTATTTTCAAGCATCTTTCTTTTTCAGAAAGAAAATCATTTTTTCGCTTAAAAATATACTTTACTATTAATAATTTGACTGAAAATATTTTTGGCAATTTCTTGAAAAATTTATTCTGAAGAAAATTATTCAAAAGTTGTTAATTTTCGAAATTTTAGATTCTCAATATTTATGATAATAAAATAAAATGCAAAACAAATATTTTTTCAGAAAAAATCCTTCCATGATTATTAAAATTTATTCAACAGTTAAAATTTTTTTATTTTATTTTATAAAATTTTTGCTAAAAAAATATTTCTAATTCATTTCGTTTTATGATCTTAAACTTAAAATTTTTAAAATTAACAAGTTTTTTAAAATTTTCTTCAGAATAAATTTTTCAGAAAATCAACTGATATCTATTTTATATACGTGCAATTTTTAATAGTAAAATTTATTTTTAAGTGAAAAAATGATTTTTATTCTAAAAAAAATTTTTAAAAAAAAATGACCTGAAATTTTGAAAATTATCAAGTTTTGAATAATTTCCTTCAGAATAAATTTTTCAAAAAACGAAGAAAAATATTTTACGTCCAATTTTTAATAGTCAAATTTATTTTTAAGTGAAAAATGACTTAATTCTACAAAAAGTGCTTTAAAACAAAAAAAAAAAAACCTGAAATTTCGAAAATTGACAAGTTTTGAATAATTTTCTTCAGAATTTCTCAAAAAATGATGAAAAATATTTTACGTCCAATTTTTAATATTAAAATTTTATTTTTAAGTAAAAAAAAATGATTTCATTCTATAAAAAATTTTTAAAAATAAGAAAATAACCTGAAATTTGGAAAATTAAGAAGTATTAAATAATTTTCTTCAGAATTTCTCAAAAAATCAAGAAAAATATTTTATGTGCATTTTTAAAAGTAAAGTTTGTTTTTAAGCCGAAAAATGATTTTTTTTCTATTAGAAATTGATTTAAAATAAAATTAGATAAATTCTTCAAAAAGAAAAAAAAGAAAAATTTTAAGTTGACAATTTTTTTAAACCTAAAAACAAATATTTGAAAAAATTTCAAATGAGTTTTAAAAGAAATAGGTATTTTTTTCGAATAAAAAATATTCACAGTCAACAATTTTTTTGTGATCAATTTTATTTTATGATCACTGTAGCAGTATAGTCGAACTCTCCCTTTAGAAAATTTTCAATTTACATTCATCGGGAATTGTTTCAAATAAAATTTATTTGATTTAAGTATAAAAACTATTATTTTATTATTATTTTTAATTTTATTTTAATTTGTTTTTTATTTTAACTCTTTTTTACTTTTACTTTTATTTGTATTTTTTTGTATTTCTATTTGTATTTTTTTGTATTTTTACTTCTATTTTTACTTTTATTTTTACTTTTATTTTTATTTGTATTATGTTTTGTTTTCACTTTTTTTATTTATACTTTTAATTTTATTTGTATTTTTTTATTTTTACTTTTACTTTTATTTTTCTTTGATACACTGAAAAAAAATTATTTGATTCAACTAATCAATTACTTGTCCATTTTAAAAAAAATATTTACTTGAATCAAATGATTTTCATTTAAATCAAATAAATTATGTTTGAATGAATCAGTTCAGTATTTAGTTCAAATACAATTTATTTGAGTCAAGAATATATTTATTTTAAATAAAAATTATTTAAGTCAAGAAAATATTTACTTTAAATAAAAATTATTTAAGTCAAGAAAATATTTACTTAAAATAAAAATTATTTAAGTCAAGAAAATATTTAATAATAGACAAGTTTTTGATAATTTGAACCAAATGAATTTTTTTTTAGTCTAATCGTTAAGTAATCAATTATTTTACCAAAATTAATTTTTTTTCCACTGCATTCTTTGTTGTAAAAGCAAAATATTTTTCTCAGCATTTGTTTTACAGTTTTCAATCCAATCGGAAAGCAACATTCCTTAAACGTATAATACTTATAAGTTTTGTGTCATTTTAGAGTACAGACATGAACTTTATAATAAAGAACTATAATGTACATAATTGTATGAAAATTGATTTTCCAAATAAAATTGTTAGGTATAAAATATAAATTTCTATTTTCGAAAATAATACGCACGATTCCTTTTTTTTTCACACTTTTTCTTTCTCTTTTGTTAGGAAATATCTGTCGTCAAACTATTTCTATAATAATAATAACAAAAAAAATAAAAAAAAAACCCTGTAACAAATCACTTTAAGTAATTTGTGCAGCGGAAATTCTTTCGGATCGTCGAATATTATCGGAAGTGCCTAAAATTCTTTTGGTAACAGTATCAATAGCAAATTCCGAACGATCATTATGTAATAATTTCACATGACTGAGAATATTCCGGGAATATTTACTTCTCGACGTACAATAGGGGCATTTATATCGTAATTTTTGACATTCATAACGAATATGTGAATTTAAACTGTAAACAGATTTACAAACAGTACCACATTTATTTGTACAGGGTAATTTTGCATCGCCCTCAAAGGGATTTTTCACCAATGACAATTCATCGATGTTCGGTTTGACATCGTCCATTGTGGCGAGACTGGAGACATTTGATATTTTTATCTCACTATCGGCATTGCGAAATTGAATTGATTGAAGGACTTGTTTTTTCATTAATTTCTCCATGGCGTCCTCATCGTCGGATGAATTTAGCGATGGACTTGAATTTCCAGCAGCCCATAAATCGAGGGGAACTATTGAGAGATCATCGTGCTGTCGTTTAATGTGCCTCACAACTTCGTAGCGATTTGCTTTTTTGTATCGACATTCGGGACATTTGTATCGTATTGAATAGCCGCCACAGACTTTATTTAAATGTTTCTTTAATGATGAGGCGAAGAAGAATTTTTTCCCACAACGCTTGGGACATGTGAGTTCCTTGCTCTGCGATTTTGACTTTCCCTTATTGGTACGAAGACGTGAATTGAAATTTTTCTTCTGTCTTGAATTGTAATTTTTACTTAAATCTTTGGTAATTGGTAGCTGACTATCGGGGAGTTTTCTTAATTCGACTTTGAGTATTTTTAAATCGTAGGGTTTTTGTAAATTATTGACTTCGAAATTCTTCCGTTGACTTGTGGTTTTGAATAATTTTGATTGTAAATTTACTTTGAAGTTCCCGTCCTCTAAATCTGGGTGAATTGACCGAGTATTATCTTCGAATGTTGATTTTGAGAATGGATTAACGGGTAAATTTTCTTCACGATTGAAATTTTCTAAGAGTTCTAATTTAATTGTTCGTTTATGATTTGCCTCTTCAATATCGGAATCGACTAGAAGGGGATTATCTTCTATTGAAATTTCCGAAAAATTATTCGCATTGTTGGTCGTTGAATCCCAAAATGTGTCTGAGCCATTTTCACTTGCTGTCACATTAACGAAGACATAATCGCAATCTGAAACAATTAGTTGAGATTTTAGAGGAAAAATATTACATTTCTTTTGTATTTTACATGAGTTTCAACAAATTTTCTGTTAGAAGATTACTTTTAAGTTCTTTCACACAAGACAATTTTTAAATCGGTGTTGCAAAAATTATTGTTAAATATAAATTTTCTGCCAATTATTTTTAACAATTATTTTTATTCGGAAATTCGTTTGGAAATTCATTTGGAAATTTATTTGGAAATTTATTTCGAAATTTCTTCCATTCATTTCAGTCTAGAAAAATTATTGTTAAATATAAATTTTCTGATGAATTATTCTTAACAATTATTTTTAATTAGAAATTCGTTTGGAAATTTTTCTCACAATTTTTGTTTCGGTGTTGCAAAAATTATTGTTAAATATAAATTTTCTACGAATTTTATTTTTAACAATTATTTTTATTTGGAAATCCGTTTGGAAATTTATTTGCATATTTCTTCCATTCATTTCAGTCTAGAAAAATTATTGTTAAATATAAATTTTCTGATGAATTATTTTTAACAATTATTTTTAATTGGAAATTCGTTTGGAAATTAATTTTTTAAATTTTTCTCACTATTTTTGTTTCGGTGTTGTAAAAATTATTGTTAAATATAATAAATTTTCTGCGAATTATTTTTAACAATTATTTTTTTTCGGAAATTCGTTTGGAAATTCATTTGGAAATCTGTTTGGAAATTTATTTGGAAATCCGTTTAGAAATTTATTTGCATATTTCTTCCATTAATTTCAGTCTAGAAAAATTATTGTTAAATATAAATTTTCTGATGAATTATTTTTAACAATTATTTTTAATTGGAAATTCGTTTGGAAATTAATTTTTTAAATTTTTCTCACAATTTTTGTTTCGGTGTTGCAAAAATTATTGTTAAATATAATAAATTTTCTACGAATTATTTTTAACAATTATTTTCATTTTCCATTTCAAAAAATGAAATAAAAATAAGAAATTACTCAATTAAACTTCTTTATTTTACAGTATGACAAATTTTTTACATGAAAAACATTTTTTTTTATTTTATAGCAATGAATTCTAAAATGAGTATAACAAATTTACGATTATCATGATTATGGTGGTTTGTTTTTGTCCCTAAAGTTTCGAACGTTCAAGTGAACAATTTTTTTTTTCATTCTTCCTTCAAATTTAAATTTCATTACAAAATATTTTTTTGAAAAAAAATTCTTATTTCTAACTAAAATAAAGTGTCATTTTAAATAATTGAATTAATTTTTTAGTTCATTTTTGAATTTTATTGATGCAATTTTAGAAAATAATTTAAAAAAAAAATTCTGTTCATTTGAACGTTCAAAACATTTAGAATAATTTTTTAGTGACAATTTTTAAATTTTACGTGCGTGGATTTACGGAAAAGGAAAAGAAAAACGAAATTTTTTTTTACAAAATTTAACACAATAGAAAAAAAAAATTGTTTCTTAATATAAATACCCACTGAGGAGGAAATTAGGGCAAAATGTGAGTGATTTCATTTATTTTATAATAATATTATTAATTATTCTTATTAATAATAATATTATTAATTAAATTAATTTGAATCAACTCTATAGAAAGAGACAGACGGTGTTCTATAGTCCTCTCTTCTTTCCTTTTCTAATCGCGCTTGCGCATCAGCATTCAACCTCATTGGTAGAAATTGGCGCGCTTATTTCAATTTTCAAATACTATAATATTAAACAAAATATTAAGAAAACAATAAAAATAATTTTGAATTACTTTTTTTTATTATTATTTTTTAACATAAAATGAAAAGAATTTTTCTAGACGAAATTAAATGCTTTAGAGTTTTGTAATAATATTTTACAAACGTAATTAATTTTTCAATTAATTATTCAAATACTAAGTAAATTTGGTTTACTATTTATTTAGTTTATTTGAATTTTAATTACTTTTCTTGGAAGTGCGTCATATTTATTTATATATTTATTTACTATTAAAAAATAGTACATAGAAAATCTAGAAGTTCACTATTTATTTATTTTTTGCCTTTTTAGGTATTTTTCTTGGAAGTACGTCACATTTATTTATTTATTTATTTACTATTAAAAAATAGTAGAAGGGGGAAAAAATAGTAGGTAGGGGAAAAAGTAGTAGGAAGGGGGAAAAAAACGCGCAGGCGCGTCAGCGGCTGCGCGGTTCTTTTTTCCCCGCCTACTTTCCACTTGTCCTTGAGTTCTGCGCAAGCGTCATTAAACAAGGTAAAAAGAGGGGACGTTAGAGAATTCCCCAATTTGCCCCATTTCGTCGAATCTATAAATATCTTTAATTCCACAATTTTCATTATACAAAAAAAATCTAGTCAATGTAATTAAAATTAACCCTAATACTTTTTAATACAGTATAAAAATATTAACAAATTTTTTTTTTTTTTGTAAAATTTATTGTACAACGGCCAGATTAATTATTATTTATACAAATAAATAAAAAAAAAATGTTCCTAATTCTAATTTTCGGTCAATTGTGAAGAATAGATTTTAGTAACGTCAACGACAAAAATTTCATTGCCAGGATGAATTCTACGAACGTGGGCACGAACATTTGATGAATTCTTTGTGATATAGGAACAATAGGGACAGTTAAATCTCGGTGGTTGCGAGCACTCGTAACGTAAATGATTCTGCAAATTATCCTTTCTCGTAAATTGGCTCGCACACTTTGGACATGGGAATTTAGTTCTTCCCGTTGAATCCATCACTGCATAAATACGTGTTCCATTGTAGTTCAAATAATCTGAAAACAGTTATTAAAAAATTAGAATCAAAGAAAATTTTTCCCAGTAATTTTTTTTTTTTCAAAATTTAATTTTTTATAGCCCAAAACTAATTTTTTTTAATATAAATAAGAGACTTGATGAAAATTTTACCAAAATTAGTGGTGATGTAGAATAATATAAAATATACAAGAAGTAAATTGCTTTATTTTTATCGAAAAAAAATGATGGTACAATAAATATTTTTTTTTTCAGGAACTTAAGTTAAATTGACAAATATCAATGGTTTGTAATTCCTCGCCAGGATGACGTGTTCGAACGTGTTTTCGTGTATTGGAAACGTGTCGTGATCTGTATGTACAATAGGGACAACAAAATCGTGGTGGCTGTGAGCATTCAAATCTCTCATGATAAACGAGTCCATTTTTACGACTAAATACACTAGAACACTTTTGGCATGGATATTTTTTCATGACTTCTGATGAATTTCGTAAATTAAGATATGTTTGTGATGGTACTGACCAGTCCAGTCCGGAATTAAAAATTTCATCTGAAAAAAAAGAATTGAAAAAGAGAAAATTAAAATTGTTTTTTCAAAGAAAAAAAAAAAATGTGATCTGCAAATATTTTTAAGCAATTAAAAAAAGAAGGGTACCAAATAAAAGATAATTTGTTTTTTTTTTGTACAAAATAACTGAAATCAATTGTTTATTTAACAGTTAAAATTATTTAATTTAATCTGACAATCACTTAATAATTCTATACCTTAACTAAGTACATGTTTTGAAAAGAAAATATTTCAAACAGAAACATTTCCTTTTTTTGCTTTTCTTACAAATATATTTTAATAACAATTTTTCAATTTTCTTTAATTAAATAATTTCTTTAATTAATTTAAATTAGGTCTGAACCAAAAAATACCAATGATTTTAATTAGTAAACATTTCCACTAATTTTTAGTAACTTTATACTAAATTCAATTTTGTTTCTTCTTTTGTAGGTTATATGGTCACAGCGCATGCGCGGTCGCCATGGCAACGTGTAAGAGTGAGTGAGATGAAAGAACTCTCCGTCTCTCTTACTCTTACAAGTTACCATGGCGACCACGTACGAACAAACGGTTAGCTATCTGAGGAGTTTTAATTTCTTTTTTTTTTTTTTAAATTTCAGTAATAAAAATTACTGTGAACTGGTGAAAATTTTTACAAGATTTAAGTACACCTTTTAATTGACCTTCTCACTAATTAATTAAAAAGTAAATTATCAAAATCTTTTTTTTAATAAAAGATTCATTTTTTCTACAATAAGTTTTTTTTTACATCATTTGTGCATTTCTATATTTTAAATATGAATATAATATTATGGACAACTATAATTACAATTTACATTTTACAAGTATGCAGATCTTAGGAACATGAATTTGGTTTTTTTTTTTAATAATATCAACGAATTCGTAACATTAATTTTTGACTAATTTGTTTTAAATTAAAAGTGAACGCATAAAAATTTTAACATTCATTTTTGACTAATTTGTTTTAAATTAAAAGTGGACTCATAGAAATTTTAACTCTTTAAATAAAAAAACATTGAAAACTCAAAATTTTGTGTTTATATTTTTTGAGAATATATTAAAATAAGTTTAATTATAAAATTAATGTCTATCAATTAAATTTTTAATGTTTAATTTTTTTTCTAATTTTGCATTTAATTTTTATTTTTATTTTAAGTGAAAATTAATTAATTTGTTCCGAGAATATTTTTTCTTGTAACTTCTGAGGTAGCATAAATATAAATTTTCTGAATTTCCTTTCATTGTTGATGAAGATCAATGCCCCAGACTTTATTTCCCACGTGAATTCGTCGAACGTGTTTATACAAATTTGACAACAATTTTGAACGTTGACAACAATATGGACACTGGAAACGTGGTTGCCGATTACATTCATAAGTCATATGCTGCTTTAATCCTTTCATTCGTCGGAAATTTCGTTTACATTGTGGACAAACGAATTTCACGTCAATTGATGTACTGTAATCTAAAAGAAAAAAATAAGCAAATTAATATTTCATTCTGGAATTTTTTTTTTTTTTTTTTTTTTTTTTTTTTTGAAAAATAGTCAATTTTAGTTGTAATTAAGTACATAGTTCAGAAGCAAATATACATTGAGAGGAAATACATATTATTGTTATACATGAAATATTTAAGTAACAAATACCAAAGTAAAGGGTATTTTTCCATTTCTACTTCAATGTTTAAAAAAATTTTTTTAATTTAAAAAAAAATTCGAAAAAAAATTTGAAAAAAATAGTTGTAAAAAGAAATTATTAATGAAACAACATTCAATGGTAAAAATATTTTATTTCTTCTTAACAAATTTTATGTATTTTTACAAAAAAAGGAGATTGGATTTTCAATGTGTGTGATATAATTTTTTTTCGGCTTTTCATTTATATAAATAAATATGATACAGGCTCTCCTGGATGTTTAATTCGAACGTGTTTTTGAACGTTTGATGATTTTTTCGATCTATAATCGCAGTAGGGGCATTTAAATCGCGGCGGTTGACCGCATTCAAAGCGTAAATGGCAAATGAGTCCATTTTTTCGACTAAAAGCACTTGGGCAATTGGGGCAAGGATATTTTTTGAAATTTCTCTCCGGATTTTCGTAGCTTGAATTTTGATATCCACTAAAACTTTCCGCATTTAGGGAAATTTGAAGCAAGCCCGAGTTTATATCTGAAACAAAAAGCATTAAATATTTGTTAGTTGGAAATTTTTGCCAGAATAAAAAAAAAAGAAAATTTCTAAACTCGAAATATTTTTAAATAATAATTCTACTGTACTTAAAAGAAAAAATAATAAATTTTAATTAAAAATAAAAAATATTATAAGAATTATAAAAAATGATAATATATTTTGATTCTTATCTATTTTTTTCCATAAGGCGAGAAAAATAAAAAAAATGATAAGAATAAAAAAATAAAAAAAATAATAAGAAGAATACAATATAAACAAAAAATTTTAATTTTCGCTTAAATTAAATAAAATATTTATTTAAATATGATAATTAAAAGAACTGAATTGAATCGCAATGCACGTTATTTTGATAAAGGCAATTTTTTATTGAACCCAAAAAATAGTTGATTTTTTTTTATCTCTTATTTCACATTAAGTACACATTTAAAAAAAGAAGAAAAAAATTTTTAACATTATCGACTGCTACAAATGTCATATAATTATATTATTTACAAAAATTTTCTTGTGACTTTTTATAGTAAAAAGTTAAGATCTATTTATTCTTTAAATCTAAATAATTATTATTGCTTTACAGATATTTAACAAATTAAAAGAAAATTTCTCCCCATCATTGTTTTTTTGATATACATTTCTCATTGTACAGTGTGTCAAATTATTTATTTAATATTTTTATTTTTACAATAAAATAAATTAGAGTTCGTGTTTGAAAGGTCTGCTTTTTAGAGTCTGTGCCACTTTACAGGGTTGAAAATTGCTTTTTGGAATTTTTTTTACATTATTTTGATTTTGGAAATTTTTTAATTCGATAAAAAAAACTTTTTAAGTGTATAAAAAATTGTTGTATTTAAAATTTTCTTTTTTTTTACTTATTGAAGAATAGAATTTGTTTATTTAAAGTTTTACTAGTGTAGTAGTTAGTTTTTCTAACGGCCCCTCTTTTGTCTTTGTCATCTAGCGCATGCGCGTCTGAAAAGCAACTGCGCCTGTGTCACTATTTTCTCATTGGTGGAAAGAACCCCGCGCTTATTTAAAATACATTAAAAAATTTAAAATACATTCAAGTATTTAAAATACATTTAATTATCAAAAGAAAAACAATTAAAAAAATATTAATCTCTCAAATTGATATTTTTTATTTCCGTAATTTTTTTCCAGTCGATATTAATTTTATTAAATTATTTTACACCTAATTTAGTAAAATTAATGTCGACTGGAATTTGGAAAATATTAATACTAAACTAAAGTGTTTTAATTTCAGGGATAAAAATTATTTTTGTTTTTGTTAACAAATTTTTTAATATTAAAGAATTTTCAAAAAGCGCGCAATTTTCTACCAATAGGAAAGAGAGTGGAAAGTAGACAGGGGAAAAAAACGCACGCAGGCGCAAAGCGGCTGCGAGAGTCTTTTTCCCCTGCCAAAATTTTTTTTCCTTTCCAAATATTTCTTAATAGAAAATAAATAAATGCGACGCACTTTTAACAAAAGTAGCTGAAATGCAAACAAACTAAATAAATATTGAATTAAATTTTTTATTGCTTTTGAGATAAATTTATATAATATATATTATTATATATAGAGTCAAAGCGCACCTAACGTCCCCTCTTCTTTCTCTCTCTAGTGACGCATGCGCGACCGTCGCGAAACGGAACTGCGCGTGCGCCGCTCTCATTCGTAGAAAATAGTGGCGCAAGCGCAGTAGCTTCTCGTGACGCTCGCGCATGCGTCGCTAGAGAGAGAAAGAAGAGGGGCCGTTACGTACACTCTGAGTCTCTGTAAAAAAAATATTTTTCAATAAAAACAAATCTCGATTTTTCAAAGTTGATAAAGTGGTACAAACCCCAAAAGAAAATTTCCACCAAATAGAGGACTACGTACTGAAATATAATTGTCGAATTAAAAACAAATAAACAAATTATAAACAAATTTATATTATTAATATCTCATATTATTAATAATTAATATCGCGCATTAATAACAATTAATATCGCATATTAATAATAATTAATACTTCGTATTAATAATACAAAACTTATTAATAACCCCAAAAAAATATTACATGTAACTAGTCCTCGATAATTGTTTAAATAAATCTATAATGACTAATGGCTCGTTCCTGTGCATTTTTCGCACATGATTATACATATTTGAACTGAATTTATCAGTTTTAGCACAATAGCGACACTGATAGCGTGGCGCTTTTCCACACTGGAATTGATAGTGTGTTTTCATGTCGTAAATTCGCGTGTAACCTCTATTACAACGGGGGCAACAAAATTTTTTTCTATTCGCATTGTAGGAACGTGAATCTGCATGCGATGACCATGACGATGATCCTGTTCCTGTCGATGAATTCAATTGACTTCCACTCTCTTGATTATTGATTCCCGATGATTCATTCTCACCATAAGATCCCTGAACGTTAACAAGAAGAATTGACGACTCTGCAACAAGATTACAATTATTTTTATCAAAAATTGAAAATTTATATTAAGAAATGGATATTTTTTTTTTAAACTTAAAAAATAATTTCCTGCTTCCTTTGGAAAAATTAAAAAAAAAAAAATTCTCAAATTAACAGATTTTTTTATAGGCATAATTATAAATAACATTGTTATTTTTTATTAACACTGTTTAATTCGATTAAATAATAAATTTTTTTATTAATACACATTGAGTTTCCCTTTCCACCTTTTTTAATCTTACATTTTTACTGTTTTTTTTTTACTTTTTTGTGTTCTATTTTTCTTTTATTTTATTACATATTACATTGTCATGAAAAATGAGAAGGTCTTGGATTTTTTTATTACAATTTGTTAAAAATTAAATTTAACCGAAAATTGTTAGAAATTTACTGTGTTTAGACCATCTTATTCCAAAAAAAAAGAATTTTTTTTTTCCTATTTTGAACTTGAAAATAACATTCGGAAATATTATTTTAAACCGTATTGAGCGTAAAATAATTAAATTAAACTTACTTTCCATTTGGAAAAATAGAGACTTTTCGAATAATTGGAACAAGTTTAGATTATTTATGTAATAGAATTAAACATTTCCATGTTGTTCTTTATTCAAATAACATATTTTTTTACATATTTGTTAAAAACAATGAGTTACGGAATAATTTTATAAAATTTTCAACTTGGAATGTAAATATAACTTGAAACGATTTTATAATAATTGTACTTATTTATTTATTTATTCTCAACCCTTTGAGGAAAGACGATTTATTTCCAATTTCTTCAAAAATTGCTGATTTCAAAAATTCAAAATTCCAAAATAGAAAAAATAATCATTAATATGAATTTTTACATATTTTTTCTTTTGGAATTGAATTTGAAATATTTTTGGATTGAATTTCAAATGCGACAATCCTTTAAGGGTTAAAAAGTCGGATTAATATTTTTTTATTGGAATATTTTTTATATTTGTTTACTTATATTTGCATATATATAATAATATATATTTTCATATATTTTGATACATATTTGCATTATTATTTTTTATTATAATATTTCTTTATTCATATGTATATATATTTAATTTAATTGTATAATGAATTTTCCTATATTTTATGGTAGGGTCCAAAACATTTTTTGCAAAGGAAAGGTTGATCTGGACATGCTTTGCACACTGTTGACACTTTTGTTGCTTTGTTGCAAGCATCCTTGCTGGACAATAAAGTCTTCCAATAATCGTAACAAACTTTGCAACGTCCGCGTACTCTTCTGCAAATAAAAAAAAAAAATAATATATTACAAAAATTATTATCTTTTCACAATTATATAAAAATTTTTGAAAGTAAAACTATTATTAAATTGGAAAAATTATTATTTATTGAATTCAATAATTAACTACCGAATTAAATAATTATTTTTTAAATTAAATATTAAATTTTTATACGCACAATAATTAATTGTTTAATTAAACAAATAATTAGATTCTGAATTCAACAATTATTTATTAAATTAAATATTGACTAGAATAATATTGATTAGTAAATTAAATAATTAATTACTGAATTTAATAAATATTTATTAAATTAAAAATAAATGATAAAAATTATAATTCAGTTAATTTGTGAAATGAAACTATACTCACGATTTTTTGTTTGAACTTGAGAAAACAAATTCTTCCAACTTCTCAAGAAAGTGATCGTGATATGGTCTCGCAGAGAAAATGTCAATTGGACTATCGAAGAATTGAAGTTGATCTGTGAACAAATGCATTTTTCTTTAGAGAAAATGGAAAACTGGTTAAAAATATTTTCAGGTGGAGAAAAACGAAATATAAGCTGAATTTTAATGTATGATAGTGAATTGATGATTTGATAACGAAAATATATTATATGAAAAATAGGTTTTTTTTCCAAAAACTTACCAATTTTTACCTAAATAATCAATACTAACCTAGTACTAATTAATATTTATATTAATATTAATAAATTATAATTAATAGATTATTATAAATTATTATAATTAAATTAACATAGATTAATATAAGTTAATATAATTAATAATATTAATAATAATATGAATTAATAATAAATATAAAATACAAAATTTTTTATGTACAAAATAATAATAGTTTTTCTAGCATTAATTCTTCGAACTGGGAAAAAGAATTAGCATTTTGAAATTTGTAAATTTGTTTATAACTCAATTTTTATTTGAACAAATCTTAAACATACACTTTGGTAAAAGCAAGTAGATAATATTCGTCATAATACATTAAAATTTAATTAATTTTCACCTTTTAGGATATAAAACGAAATTTTTCCATTTATATTGCCCGATTTAAACAAAAATTTTCAATATTAATTTTTTCAACAATAAATTAATATTTATTAACACCTTATTTATACATATTTTATTTTTTATTTTATTAGACTGTATTTGTTATTTATATTTTATTTACTTATAATTTATTTATTCATATTTAATTGTTTTATATTTAGTTTTCTCATATTTAATTTTTTCTTTATTTTGTTTTCTCACATTCAATTTTTTCTTACTTAGTTTTCTCATATTTAATTTTTTCTTACTTAGTTTTCTCACATTTAATTTTTTCTTACTTAGTTTTCTCATATTTTTTTCATATTTATTTTTTTTTTCATCCTTTCTCATACTCTTTTTATATTTTTAATTTTTTATCATACTTTTTTCACATTTTTTTCATACTTTTTTTAAATATTTTTTTTCATACTTTTTTTAAATATTTTTTTCATACTTTTTTTTTTTTATTTATATTCGACTATTTATATTCGATATTAAATTCAACCCATAAGTTCTTGAAAAATTCCATGATATGGCCCAAAGCATTTTGAGCAAAGAAACGGTTTATCGGGACATGTTCGACAATAAGTGGAAACTCTAATTCCCTTGCTGCATGCCTCTCTACTTGACAATTGTCTCTTCCAATATTCATAGCACACTTTACAACGACCACGTACTCTTCTGCTGTAAGCAAAAAAATTAATTAATATATTTCCATTCATTTTTCAAAATTCCAATAATTTTCAAAAAAAAAAATTATTACTCACGATCTTTTATTTGTACTCGAAACAACGAATTCTTCAATTTTCTCAAGAACGTGATCGCTATAGGGAATTGCGGAAAACGGTTCATGCTGCTGTTGATAGTAATAATCTGAAAAAGAAAACAAAATTCAATTTTAATGACAAATTTCAGAAAAAAAATTGTGAAGAAAGTATTTTTTCTTACACATCTAATAGTGAAAAATTAATTATTGATCAGTTTATTTATTATACGAAAGCAAAGCATTTTTATAGAGTGGCGATTATTATGTACAGAAAGATTTTTTTTTAAATTGTTACCTAATGTATTTATTATGCTATTTATTTTTTGTTTCAATTGTTTGTTAATTTATTTTTTTATTTACCTTTTGTTTTATTTTTACATTTACCTTTTGTTTTATTTTTATATTTACCTTTTTTATTTATTTACGTACTGTTATATTTTTTATGTACCTTTTGTTTTATTTATTTACCTACTATTTTATTTTTTTATGTACCTTTTGTTTTATTTATTTACCTATTGTTTAATTTTTTATTTACCTACTGTTTTATTTTCTTATTAATATTAATTCTCATATTTTTCTGTAGGGGAATAAAAAACTATTTTTCTAGGCGAGAAGCCTGAAAAAGCGTCAGGTCGATAGACAGAGTCAGCTACTGTACGTAACGTCCCCTCTTTTGTCTCTTAACGCATGCGCGACCGTTCCGAGAAACAACTGCGCTTGCGCCGCTCTGGCGCAAGCGCAGTCGCTTCTCGGAACGGTCGCGCATGCGCCGCTAGAGAGAAAAAGAAGAGGGGACGTTAGACACTCTCTGTCTCTTTCTACCGCCCTGACGCTTCATTATTAATAATATTATATCAACAATAAATTATTAAATACAATTATTTTTATTATTAATAATATTATTATTAATAATATTATTATTAAGAATTAATATTATTAAGTATTAATATTATTAAGTATTAATATTATTAATTTTATTAATATTAACAGCATTATAAATTACAATACATTAATATTATCGAAATACTTCATTATTTAGACCAAAAAATGAAAGATAGAATAAAACTATTTATTTTTGAAAATGTTTATTTATTTTTAACAAAATATATTGATTATAATGTGTACGCAGTTGTGATAGAATTAAAAATGCTTATCAGTCAAATATAATATACGTAATTGAAAACTACGAACAATCATAAATTTTCTTTTTTACAAAATAATAATAATTAGCAACGTGTGGACATATTTTTTTTAATTAAGTAGTAGTAATAAACAATTATGCCATTAAACCAGTGCCGTAGAATAATTAATACCCATTTTATTAATTGCTATATAAATATTTTTTTTTTTTAAACTAAAAATACAATTATTTTCCCACTGCAAATTAACAATAATCCTTGTAAAAATAATAATAATAATATAATTTACATGTAAAATTTTTTCTAAATGTATAATAATAATGTAAAACTTACATGTGACCAAAATTTTGACACTGAAAAGAAAAAATTTTTTTCAGTCAAATAAATGATTAATTGTCAAAAAATAAATATTTATTTGTATCGAATTTTATTTGCGACAAATATTTATTTGTATCGAATTTTTTTTGGGACAAATATTTAATTGTATCGAATTTTTTTTTGGGACAAATATTTATTTGTATCGAATTTTTATTTCGGACAAGAAATTTATTTGTATCGAATTTTTATTTGGGACAAATAATTCTGTCGAATTTAATTTGAGATAAATATTTATTTGTATTAAATTTATTTTGCCGATAAATATTTATTTGTATCGAATTATTTGATGGTAGTAAATATTTATTTCGTAATAGACAACTAATCGAATAATTGAGTGGAATAAAATTTTTTTTTCCAGTGTTTTTTAATTACTACAATTTTTTTTTTTTTTGTAGATATGTATAATTGATAACATTTATTATATTTCTAATTCTAATGCGAAAACGTCCCTTCCGGGATGAACGTGTCGTATATGGGTATAGAGATTTGACTTGCGCTTGCATTTGTATTCCTTTGAGACACAATATGGACATTGAAAGCGAGGTGGTTTTCCACATTCGTAATTAATATGGAATTTAAGATGTGTCGCGTACTTATAACTCTTTCCACATTTATGACAGCATTTACGGCTTCCGCTAGCTAGATATTTATTTTGAACACTATTCACAAATCGCTTCTTTTTCTCTTTAGAATAGATCACTACGTGTTCTGTAACAAGAAAAATTTACTATATTACATCAAACTGAAAAAATGGATAAAAGCTTTCAGAGAAACAGAAAATAGGAAAATTTTTGCGTTTATCCATTTATTTCCTCGAGTTTAAAAATCCATAATTTACAACAAATGTTTATAAATTAAAAAAAAAAAAAAAAAAAAAAAAAAAAAAAATTTCTTTTAGTTCTCGACAGTGAAGAAAAAATAAATAGAAAATTATACAAAATTATTTACATTGTTTTTTATAATATCTTTTATAATAATTTTAAATAAATAAAATTTAAGTTATTTAAAAAAAAAATTTTTTAAATTAATTAAAATTGAAAGGAGAAATAAAAATTTTTTCTCTAGCAATAATTTTTCTACTGTTAAAAAAAATAAAATTTTGATATTTACATAAAATTTGTATTTTTGAAAATTTTATTTTCCAACTTTCCCTTCAGTACATAAATGTATTCGCCTCGGTATCAATGACAGCAATTTCAAAACCAGGATGCATATTTCTTATGTGACTAATAAGATTTTCACGACGTTTCGATTTTTTCAAACAATACGAACACATAAATCTTGGATTTTTTAAACATTCATAAGTGTAATGTCTAATCAAGAGTTTTTTAAATTTATAAGTTTTACCACAATTTTTGCAAACATTACCAGGTTGATTGATTCCTGGATTATCCGCCAATAAATGATGATGATGATAACCAATTTCCGAATCGAATGCCAATGGATCAGCGTCATCCCAAACTGAAAGCAGAAAAAATAACATCAAATCAGTTTAAAAAAAAATAACATTCAAACCAATTCTTTTTGAAAATTTTGTCTATTAAGCAATTTTTTTTTTTTAATTTTGAAACATTAATATGAAAAAAATATCAATTTTTAAAAGAAAATTTAAAAAAGAAACCCCAATAAATGAAAAGCAGATATATACAAAAGTAGGGTTTTTTCGATTAATAAACTGTTGAGATATTTTCCTTCTTTAATTATTTATTACGTATATACAAACGGTAATTTTGAAGATAGAACTTAATAAAAAAAAAAAAAAAAAAAAAAAAGTTGTTTTTACCTTGAAAGTGTTTTTTTTTTAAAAGAAGCTGTTTCAAATTAATTCCGTATCAATGACATAAATTTCGTAATTTTTGTGTACATTTCTGATGTGTGCATTAACGTTCGACTGCCGCTTAGAAATATATTTACAATAGGGGCATTTGAATCGTGGATTTTTTTCGCATTCGTATTTTATGTGCCTGTACAAACAACTGGAGTATGTGTAGCTTTTCCCACAGTTAATGCAAATATAAAAATTATTTGCCGACTCCTTTTGTTGTGTGAAGTCATAGTGAAGTACTGAAAACAAAATAAAAATTACAAATATTAATAATTAATAATAAATTAACAAATTCTCAATTTTCAAAACTATTATTCGACCAAAAAAAAATATTTTTACACACACAGGACATTTGTATTAAAAAGATAAAAAAAACAAAATGGAACAAATAAACACAATTTCAGAATGATAAAAAAAACAAATTTGTTAGATTAATATTTAGTTTATTAGCAAGTAAATGGCTTTTTTATAACTTAAATATAAGGACAAATAAATTATTCGTATTTTTTAATACTTTATATTCATAGTATTTGTAATTAATATTAATGATTCTTAATATTCATAATTTATATTAATAAATATTAATATTTTTAATCTATATTAATAAATATTAATAAATATTAATATTTCAAAATTCCAATTAATAAATAATAATATTAATAAATATTTTATTTATCTTAGTTATAATATCTAATATCTATTATTAAATTTGGCACATTATATATTTTTTCTTCTTGAGAACGAAACGATTATTTATAACATATTTCATTTTTAAACGTCAATGTGTACAAAAATATTGAATACTTGATACACTTGTGCTTTTTTCTTTGGCTTTGAATACAAGAATATAACTAAAATTTTTTTTAAATTTATACACTTTTTTATGTGCAAGATGAAACAGGATAGTTGACAGTTTACTATATTCTACCTAAAGTTTTTTAAATGACGATATTGTAGAGAATAAAAATAAAAGAGGCGAGTCTATGGGAAGCGTCAGGCGGATAGAAAGAGACAGAGTGTGCCTAACGGCCCCCCCCCTTCTTTCTCTCTCTGCGCTTGCGCCACTATTTTCCACCAATGAAAAAATAGATAATAGAAAGTAGGCGGGGGAAAAAAGACTCGCGCAGGCTTTGCGCCTGCGCGTTTCTTTTTTCCCCCCGCCTACTTTCTAATCTCTTTTCTATTAGTGGACACAAGGGGGGCCGTTAGGAACACTCTTACTATCGCGCTGACTTGGCGCTGACGTTTTTTGAAAAGTTTCGCGTCCTCTATTCCTATACCCAGTGAGAAATTGCCAATAGACTTTAATCGGTCCAATATCGGTCCAATATTGGTTGCCGTGCTGGGCGCCGATTGACTCCCAATATTGGACCAATATGGGCTGATGCTTGGGATGTAACGGCATCGCCAATCATCGGTTGTCAATATTGGTCCAATATTGGCCGAATATTGGCAACCAAGAGAAAAAAATTTTTTTAAATAAATTTTTTTTAATTAAATAATAATAATAAAAAATTAATGTTTATAATTTTTGTTTAATATATTTATTTGTTTAATTATTTAGTTTTAATAATTCATGTAAATAATAAATAATTTATTATTTATAAATTATAATTATTTAAAAATGCAGCAGCTATTAGAAAATAGCATTCTGCAAAAAAATTCTATCATTGAAAAATCAATGATAGGCGAGATAAATCCGCGTCTTTAAATAGATTCGCAGATGATAGACAAGAGATATCCGCGTCATTAAACGGATTCGCAGATATACTCTGGTCTCGCGACGAATCTCTCGATACTTATATACACTGGAGTCGCCGTGTCAGTTGCGAGAACGGTTACAGCGTCCCTCTTGCGGCAGAGATAAGAATTGTCACGTAAACTGCTAAATCGCTTTACCGACCGCCTTATTATACCCGCAGTTTACATGACAATTCTTATCTCCGCCGAAAGAGGGACGCTGTAACCGTTCTCGCAACTGACACGGCGACTCCAGTGTATATAAGTATCGAGAGATTCGTCGCGAGACCAGAGTATATCTGCGAATCCGTTTAATGACGCGGATATCTCTTGTCTATCATCTGCGAATTTATTTAAAGACGCGGATTTCTCTCGCCTATCATTGATTTTTCAATGATAGAATTTTGTTGCAGAATGCTATTTTCTAATAGCTGCTGCATTTTTAAATAATTATAATTTATAAATAATAAATTATTTATTATTTACATGAATTATTAAAAATAAATAATTAAACAAATAAATATATTAAACAAAAATTATAAACATTAATTTTTTATTATTATTATTTAATTAAAAAAAATTTATTTAAAAAAATTTTTTTCTCTTGGTTGCCAATATTCGGCCAATATTGGACCAATATTGACAACCGATGATTGGCGATGCCGTTACATCCCAAGCATCAGCCCATATTGGTCCAATATTGGGAGCCTTTATTGGACCGATGATCGGTCTCTTGGCTCCCAATATTGGACCGATATTGGACCGGTGAGAAATTTCTCACTGGGTATTTCTCTATTTAGAAAATTAAAACATGCGAATAACTTTTCGCAATTAAATAGTTCCTCAAATAGTTTCTCGGGTAATATTTTTCTTCAGTTATACTTATTTTGAAACTATTAACATTTCACTTTTTAAAATATAGTAAATATTCAACTGTTTATATGTATAAATATTTTTTTTCTCATATATGATGATTTTTTTTTTTTTTTTCATATATGATGAATTCAAAATTCAAATGCATAAATATTTGAGTGTCTATAATAAATTATGCATAAATGACTACTGTAATTTATAAATTATGCACAAATACCTAACTACTACAAATTATGTATTAAATGACTTATAACTGACTACTGCAAATGACTACAATAAATTATGGATTATAAAAATATCCAAGAATAGAAAGAAACTAATTTAGTATTATTTCGAACTAATATTTAAGCAACAGGTACATAATTGCACAGCACAGCGTTTTGTTTCCTCTTCGTCAAATACGATCATTTTGTTAAACAGAAAGAAAAATTTGTTTTACAATGAAAAAAAATTGTTGATGAAAAAAAAAAAAATTTTGTTAATGAAAAAAAAAAAAAAATTTGTTTTCCATTGTGAAAAAAGGTGAAATTAATTTTGTGCGTCAAATTTTTCATAAACATTATAGAAATGCGTTCGTTCATGATCTCTCAAATGATGCCTGTGCTTAAATCGTTTATTGCAGTTACCACATTGAAATCTAGGTGGTACAGAACATTCGAGACGCCAGTGTCGTTTTAAATTACATTTATGAGTGTAAGATCTCCCACATCTTGGACATAAATAAGGTGGGCCATCGTCTGCATTTCTAGCTTTCTTCCAAACTGAAACATTTTAAAAAATCATTTTCCATTAAAAAAAAAGAGGAATTTTTTCTTTTGCGCAGTCTCATGAAAATAATTCAACAAAATTGTATTTAAAAAGCGTGATTTTCAAGAGGAACAAGTCGAAAATAAAATGTTCATTCATGCCAAAGAATTTTTTTTGAACATTAATTTTTTTCGGAAAAAGACGATGATTTTCAAATTACCACACACAAAACAAAGGTAAACATACAATTAACATTTTTTTTTTTCTAACAAAGTCGCAAAAAAAATTTTTAATTAACGAATTAGTTTATTTAATATACTCTGATACAGAATGGTAATAACAAAATTCAATTAGTATACATTTCATTTGGCAGTATAGATAATTTTTTACTTTTACCTGCAATACTTCATATTTTGTTCTGCAATCTAATCGAATGGGATTATTTTCACAAAAGGAAAAATATTTTCGTATATTTTCGGTTACCCTAAGGAAAATTAACAACAACAAAAAATGTATGGAATTTTTTTCTAGGGGACCGAAAGTTTTCAAACTGCTTTTTTTTACTTTAGAGAATATTATCGGCTCTTTACAGTTTAAATATGTAAATATGTTTTTTGAATTTGTAAATTTGTAAATATGTCACATTCGCGCAATTACATAATAATTTACATAATAATTATATGTAAATTTAAATATATTATATAATCTTTATAATAATATAACTTTTCGAACTTCATGCTATTATTTTTATCACAAGTTGCAGCACTAGGGCCGAATTTTATGTTCGTCGTAAACCAAACGTTTTAACATTAAACTGCTAACAAAATTTATTTTCAACCCTTTTGCACTTTCTCAATATTTAATATTGAACAAATCACAAAATCGAATTCTTTCTCTCCCTATTTATTCAGTCAATGAGCATTTTTCACTGATATTGGCGAACCAAACAAAAAAAAAATAAAACCAAAAAAAAATAAACAAAAAATTAACCAAAAAAAAAATATATCATCAAAAAAATAAATCAAGAAAAAGAAAAAATAAAAAAAAACATTTTCTTAAAAAAAATCCAGATTGCCAAAGATTCAGTTTTAAAATTTACCGTAACATGGTTACGAATAAAAATTGTGGGAAAAATTGCTAAATTTCATCGACTGAGAGAGGGATTCAAATACAAAAATGAATACCGCACAAGAAACAAGAAAGAAGGAAAATTTTAATTAAATTATTATTTTTTTTACTGTTTCTTGTGCGTTCGCATGTGAATCAAAAGATTATGTTTGTGCTTCGATTTTTTCTGACAAATGGGACACTGAAATTTCGGCTCAATACCACATTCAAAATTAACGTGTCTATTCAGACTGTGTGTTCTTGTATAAGTATTACCACAACGTGGACACGAATAACCCATATAACCACAAGATCGTGATACGGGATTTTTTAATTTCTGTTGCTCTGAATTTACTTTATTGCCATCCTTCTGTCCCTTATCCTCAATTTCATTTTTAATTTGATCTTTAATTATTCCAGAAATAACAGCCTCTGTTCTTTGATTTTTAGCCATCATTTGAAAATACAATGTTTGATACTGATAGAACTTATCAATTGTCCAATTCGACGAGGATGTCGATGTTTCATCTGAAAGAAGAAAAATTTCCATTTTATTATTAGCATTAACAAAAAATTTTCCCTCTTGCCAAAGGTAAAAAAATTGTACCTATACTCTTCCTGATGGCCAATTGTTTTTTTTTTTTTTTTAGAATTTTCAAAAACCATAAAGTAGGACGTAACAAAGAATGATGTACGAGAACACAAACAGTGGATTTTTCCATACCAGTCACCACCAAAAAGCACTAGAGGAAACACATATTTTTGGATAACATTCGAAAAAGTGTTTTTTTTTTTTAATTTAGCTACAAGTTTATTTTCGGAACCAAAGACTTTGTGTCTTTCAAAAAGAAAAAATATTTAATACAACACTGTGAAAATCAAAGATTTTTTTTTTAAATAACGCATGAATGATATTTTTTTAAAATGTACATTTCTAATTGGAATTTTATTTCGTAGCTATAGTATTTTACAAATTTTGGTTTCAATCCAAGTCCGATGATCATTATTGATCTACTTTACTTTAATAAATGAAACAAATTTTTTATTTTTAATTTCGAGTAAATTGCAAACTTAATAATAATAATAATATTGCAAATATTTCGAATTTTCCCGGAATTATTCGTGAACAATTGCCATTTTCAGTAGATTTAGTCATGGATTTTTAATTCCCCCCCCCTCCCCCATTTCTTTTCTACAATAAGACAATTTCTCCTGAATTTATTTTAAAGAAAGCGTTACATACAAGTAACTTCTTTTTATGTACAGAAATATTTTTTTTTTATTATTCATTCGTTTTTAATTCTTTTTCAGTTCTTTTTAAATTCTTTTTAATTCTTTTTAAATTCTTTTTAAATTCTTTTTCAATTCCTTTTTAAATTCTTTTTCAATTCCTTTTTAATTCTTTTTCAATTTCTTTTAATTCTTTTTCAATTCTTTTTCAATTCCTTTTTAATTATTTTTCAATTTCTTTTAATTCTTTTTAAATTTAAAAAAAAAATTTTTTTTAATTCTTTCTTCTTAAAAATATATTTTAATTTTTCCTAATTTTGCGAAATAACACCGTGATGCAGTGATAAATGATTGCGCATTTCATAACGATATTTAAATTTCCTATCACACATGTGGCACGAGAATTTCTTCTGCTTATTGCCACATTCCACGCGTTGATGCCTTTTCAAGCTGTCTAGCCATTTGTATTTTTTACCACAATCGGAACAAATGTATTCGGACAATTGTGCGCGAACCACTTTTCCACTGTCCTGTGAAAATGATGATGTTCCAATATTTGAGTCGTAATTTCGATCCAAACCAGTTAGTTTCCAACGATAGGATTTTCGAATACCGGGTAAAATTTGTGTATTCATTTCTAGATTTTGTGTATTTTTTTCAAGCATCCACAATGCGCTGTATTCGTCAGAGTTTTCGTAACCTGAAAAAAAAATTAAAACACATTTTATTAGATTAATTAGCGGTAGTAAATTATAATAGTACTTATAATAAAAATAATAATAGTAGTAGTAGTAGTTAAAATAGTAGTAATTACAATGATAATAGTAATAATTGTAATAACAATAGTAATAATAGCAATAATAATAGTAATAATTGTAATAACAATAACAATAGTAATAAAAGCAATAAAAATTGTAACAATAGTAATAATAACAGTAGTAACAATAATAGTATTAATAGTAATATAATAGTAATAATAGTATTAATGGTAATATAATAGTAATAATAGTATTAATAGTAATATAATAGTAATAATAGTAATAACAGTATTAACAGTAATATAATTGTAATAATAGTTATAATAACAGTTACGATAATAAGAATTTTTATTATTCATCAGACTCAGAGTAGACCTAACGGCCCTTCTTCTTTCTCTCTCCAAAGACGCATGCGCGAGACCGTCACGAGAAGCAACTGCGCTTGCGCCTGAGTGGCGCAAGCGCAGTTGCTTCTCGTGACGGTCTCGCGCATGCGCCAACAGACAAATACAAAATAATTGTCACAAAAATAATAATAACAATTTCTTTCAATAATAATAAGTACAATAATTAAAATTCTAATAATGTTACCAAAAATAATATTTAAATAGTTAAATTAAAATTAAATTAAATTCGAGTTAAAATAGTAATTCAAAAAGTAATTACCTACTTTCAAAATTGATTCGAAATATTGAATTCGATTTATTGAAAATTAGTAATTACGATTCTTTTACATACAATACATGTATTATTTTATTTATTTTGGTCTCCCAATATACAAATATAATTTTATGCAAAAAAAATTGTACTTTTTTTTATTATTAAACATTATAAATTAATTGTAAGCTGGGCTTGTAAATATTTGCTTTATTCGACCTATTTGCAGCAGGCGTGCTTTATATGTCTTCTTAAACTGTCAATTCTTGAAAAACGCTTATTGCACCGCGAGCACATAATGGGAGTACCGTGCTTTTTTTTAAATCGCACAAAATTACGTTCGTTTTCATTTCCCTTGCTCTCCTCATAAATACTCCAAGATTTCGTGTAACGTATATCTAAAAACAAAAGTCAATCGATTAATGTCATTAATTTAGTGTGCAGTGAATTTTTCTTTTTAGTTTTAAACGTAAAAAACATAAATATTATAACATGTTACCAATACTATTTCACATCATCAACATTATTAGATATTAATATTATTACATATTATTAATAGAATTACATAAAAATATTATTATTTTACAAATTATTACATAGAATTATTTTTAAAAAAAGGGACCGTTAAGTACACAAGCTGAATTTTTTATGGACCTGTTGCGTTTTCTCATATTTTATTTATAATTAAACATTAATATCAATTAATATTATTAATAGTAAATACTATTATTTATATGAAATATTATTATTAATATGAAATCTTATTAATAGTGGTTCATATTAATTTTATTTCTATTAACAATAATTATAATGATAATAATAATAATACATATGTAAAAACGCGTCAAGTCGATAGAAAGAGACAGAGTGTTCTTAACGTCCCCTCTTCTTTCTCTCTCTAACGACGCATGCGCGACAGTTACGAGAAGCAACTGCGCCTGCGCATCTCTAACTCTTTGCCATTTTTTTCCCCCACTACAAATTTAAAAATGAAACGTATTTGAACCTTATTTGAGTCATAAATTTTTTTTCACTAAAAAAATACGTAAAATGAAAATAGTGAAGTAGAAGAAGAATGTTATTTATACACTGTACAAAGTTAGTAAATACCAAGAAACGAAAGAATAAACTACGTTTTATTATTAGATTGCAATAATTATAAAGTATAAAAAATAATATTATAAAATGACAAATAGAATTTTGTTTATTATTTACATTTTACATTGTTAATTCTAATTTCCCATCAACTAGAACAAAAATAAGACACAATTATTGCTTTTTTTTAATTTATTCAATAAATTGTTATTTATTAACATTTAATAAGTAATTGTAAAACAATATCCGTGAAATGGCAAAAACAAACAAAAAATTTTTGTATTAATTTAGAAGAAAACGATGAAAACAATTCTTTTCTAATCTAATTTGAATCATTTGGAAACAAATGAACCTAATCCAGATTCTAAAGATATTTAAAATATAACCACTAGAAAATAATACAAATAGTATAAATTATAAACTGGGGAGTAATTAATTATTAATTAATTATTACTTAGTAATTAATTATTAATTAGTAATTAATTATTACTTAGTAATTAATTATTACTTAGTAATTAATTATTACTTAGTAATTAATTATTAATTAGTAATTAATTATTAATTAGTAATTAATTATCAATTAATAATAAATTAAATACTCGAACTTTAATATAAATTTTAAATGAAAATTCAACGACAATAGTAGTGCTTCTCATTTTGTACAACAAACAGGTAGTGTGTTCAAATATATAAATATATTTATCTTTAAGAAAACAAAAACTATTTTCTTCTTTGGACAATAATTTCAATTATTCTCTAAATTGAGCGCTCGAATGCAACAACTCGTTCGACGCTTGAAAATTTTTCGAGCGACGAACGAATTGTTTTATTGGAGCGCTCAATTATTGTCCGAATTATCCGAGAAAACATTTTTGCACATGCTGTATAAATAGAGATTGATCGGTAAAAACTCGTTTGCACTTTTCGCAAAGATTGATTTTCAATAATGGCGATTGCTGCATCGGGTACATTTGATCAAAAATATTTTTTGGCACATTCACGTATGCTATTTTTGGCTGACCACCATCAGCTGAAGGAACGAGGACAGTCGTCAAACCCATTGAGTTTGCTGGTTTGGGAAGAATTTTCCATGTTGATGAAGAATTTTTCTGTACTGATTGACTATTAGGTGCAATTGGTGCATTAGAGTATAAAATTGGTCCACTTTTTTGATAATGCTGCTGTTGCAATTGCTGCTCCTGTACTTTCTGATATTGTTGCTGCAATCTTTGTTCCTGTGGTTGTTGATAGTGCTGTTGTAACTGTTGCCCCTGCAATTGTTGCTGAACATTACTAAATAGACCTAAAAGCAAAGAAATAATTTTTTGATTTGTTTTAATTTAAAAAAAAAGAAGAAGAAGAAGAAGAAAGAAAGGAAATTATATTTTAGAGACAGAAAAGAAACCACCTGAATAACATTATAATGAACAAGAAAGAAACTGTGGAAAGTAACTTAAAAGGAACTAAAACTAAAAAAAACTGAAAAACAGAACTTAAAAAAATAAAAAAAAAAAAAATTAAACCGGAAAGATGTAACTAAGAAACTAGAACTGAAAAAAAATTATAAAGCAACAACTCAAAGAAACTATAAAAAGGAAAAAATGTAAAACTAAAAAAAACTATAAAAAGGAAAAAATGTAGAACTGAAAGAACTAAACATCAAAAGAGAGGAGAACTTAAAGAAAGAAGTAACTATTTTTCTCTAAACAATAAATATTTTTACGCTTACATGATAAAATTTAGTGAAACCTAATAAAACACAAATTGGAAATAAAAATAATATTCCATTTATTGTCATATATATTATCAAAACAAAAACAAATATAATATTTTTTTTAAAACCATTATTTTTACCTAATCCTTTGAAAATATATTTTTTTTATATATTTTTTAATATATATTTATATATTTTTTAATATAAATTTTCATATATATTTTTTTTTTACACATTCTTTAATATAATTATTTCTTTTAAAAGAACTTCTATTGAAAAACAATATGTTTACTGGACATGTGATCCCTCAGTAAATAATGTCGGTAAAACAATTTTCCACAAATGTTACAAGAATACTTTGGTTGTTTAGCGCACTCGAGTCGTTGATGTCTTTTTAAACTGATTTTCCATTTATAGCCATTGCCACACGCGGAGCAAAAAAATTGTCGTTGTTCCGGCGGCGTATAAGTCCCACGACGTCGACGTGGATGCTGTAATCTCTCAATGATTCTGTGCGCAACATCAACATACGCAAACGGATCTGAAAGAAAGAAAAATTTTACAATTAATTTAAACACGTTTCATTAATATTCTCCTGCAAAAAAAATAAAAAAAAAAAAAAATTGAAAGACAATCATGCGAAACAGAGTGGATGATAAATAATCACAATGATGCAAGTAGATTTTTTTTCTTTTATTTTGTCACAAAATAATTTTTTAACAGTAATTTTTTAATTGGTAAAATATGAAGAAATAAAAAATGTATGATGGAAATACAGTAGCGTGGAGAGTTTTGGTTATGAGTGGAAAAAAAATTAATTAAATGTTGATTAATATTTGTGTAGTGGTGGATAATATTGTAATCGGAGAGATGTAGTGTTTCTAACGGCCCCTCTTCTTTCTCTGTCTAGCGACGCATGCGCGGGTGTCACGAGGAGCAACTGCGCTTGCGCCACTACTTTCCACCAATGAAAAAATAGAAAGTAGGCGGGGGAAAAAAGAAACGCGCAGGCGCGTCAGCGGCTGCGCGCGTCTTTTTTCCCCCGTCTACTTTCTACTTACGTTTCTATTGGTGGAAAAAAGAGGGGGGGGCGTAAAGTACTCTCCGTCTCTTTCTATCGCCCTGACGCTTACGACTTTTTTTATATCTCTACGATTGCAATTTATAATTATTAATAATAATCATTACTAATAGTTATTATTATTAATAATAATCATTACTAATAGTTATTACTAATAGTTATTATTATTAATAATTCCAATAATTATTATTTAAAATTAACGTCTATAATTGTATAACAATAAACTATACAAACGTTTCTGTCCATTATAGAGGCAGCATTTGGTGCAAAAAAATCAGAACAACTGAAGAAATGAAAAAAAAATATTAACTGTTGTACCGTCGTCTCCGACGCGGATGCGCATTGTGCACACTTCTCAGATGAATTTTCAGATAATCGGATCTGAAGAATTTTTTCCTACACATGTGACATTGATATTTAGCCTCTTTGTTGCTGCCGCATTTTAATTGATGACGTTTCAAATTGTGCAACCAAGTGTAGGATTGACCACAAGCACTGCACTGATATGTTTGCTGTTCATAATTACTGCCAAAAGTTTCATGTCTTTGCCAAATCTCATCCTCAATCCATCCTGTTTACAACAAACGATAAATATTAATTCAACACTTTCAAAAATAATAATAAAAAAAAATTCTTTTTTTTTTAATAAAAAAAATTCTGTTTATTTGTGGTAATTTCTAAAAAGAAGTTAGTAAAACATCATGCCTCGTTCACTGTCATAGAGCAGACAAAGAAATGCAATAAATTTTATGTTTATTACAAATTTTAATATACAAAATATTACAACTGTTAGGACATTGACGAGAAAGTAAGTTTTAATATGTTAATTATTAAAACACTAAATTATTCTAGAATAAATTAATTATAATTACAATAATAATAATAATAATAATACAGAATAAAGGGATTTCAGAAATCGATAAAAAAAAAATTAATGCTTTCCCCTTCGACCAGCGTGTTGCGTGTGCTTCTCAAGAAAATGCCGACGTAAATTATCCTTACGGGTAAATAAACTATTACAAACGCAGCAGAGAAATTTTTTCTCACTCCCACAAATCATTTGATGACGCTGAAGACTCTTTATCCATGTGTAACGATTACCGCAACGTGAACATTCAAAGTGACTCTGTCCCATAACGTGATTTTTGTCCACACATTCGTATTCACTTTCAACGTCAAACGGAAGTCCTGAGGATGTCCAATTTGGATCATTTATTGTTCTACATTGATATTTCCATTGTGAGTTTGCCAATTCTGTTGAAAGAAAAAAAAAGAAATTTCAAAATCAGTTTCTTTATTCGAATTTACAAAAAAAAAATTAGTTTTTATTTTAGAAAACAATTTTTTTTTAAATTATCTTCTAAAATGCATGTCACATTCTAGAGGTTGCTAAATAAAAAATTCTACTTTTAATGGAAATTTAAATCATACATTACGGTGTCAATCTACGTTTATACAGATAAAAGAAATGTCACTAAAAAGGTTTTTTTTTCGTATTTAGTGATTTATTATTAGAAAAAATTAGTTTACAGTGATTTATTATTTATAATTATAATTTTATGATTGTTTATAATTTTATAATTTTATAATTTTATAATTCGAGTAAATATTCTCGCTCTTGGAGCGTAATGTAAGGGCCCCTTGGAGGGGGACCTTAACGGGTCGCCTTTGTCTATTAGGTGAAAAATTAGATCAAATATGACCTAAATTTTAACGTAACGTAAAGGCCCCTTGAGGGGGGGGGGCCTTAGAAGATCCTGACTCAATGGCGGCATCTTAAATTTTTCTTCCTTTTAAAATCTTTGGCACATGATGAACATTTGAAGTTAGTAGTTTTGTTATTTTTTTCCCTTTACTCTCGTTATTGTCAATTTTTTTCAAGTTCAGCTTTTTTCCGACCTGCCAATGCAAAGTATAATTAGTAATATAATTAATAATTAACATTATACAATTATAGTATTAGTTTATATTGTTATTTTATTATTAGTTAATTATTTCATTAGTAGTTAAATATTTTTTTAATAAATATTTATAATAAAATATCATTTCATTGGTAGTTAAATATTTTTTGAATAAATGTTTAATAAATATTCAATAAATATTTAATAAATATTTAATGATTATTTAATAAATATTAAATAAATACTGAAAAAAACTGAAAAAATACTAAAAAATTACTAAAAAAAAATACTAAATAAATATTTTTAAAAAATGCTAAATATCTACCAAAGAAAAACTAAGTAAATATTGTTTTTGAAAAGAATTAAAAAAAAAGTAAATTCGAAAAAAAACAATTTAAAAATTACAAAATTAAAAATTTTAATACACAGTGAATGTTTACTTAATTCATGATTTTGTGGTTCATTATTCATTTTTATTTATATCAGTAGCCAGTACATTATTATGCTCTCGTTTGCATTTATAAAGGATTTACATTTTCAGTGAAAAGTCAACACTAACCATAAAAATTATTTTCTATAATAGAACGCAAATATGAAATCAACCAATTTGAAAAAATTCTTTTCATCAAAACAGAAGAGAACAAATTTTTATTTTTTCAAATTTTATTACTATTACAATAAAACTAGTAAAATTTGTTTCGATAAAGAAACAAATTTTTTTCCCCATATTGATAGTAATTTCTACGTTCATTTTCATTAATTAGTGAAAATTAAAAATATTTCCGTGAAAATTGGTTGATTATTATTAATTTATACATTTGATAAATTCGATCAGTAAATTGAGGAAATAATAGAAAAAATTCGAAACACTACACACTAGATCAGAATAGACTGTAAATACTCTGAATTTTTTTCATCATTTGTCATCTAATTGTTCTAAATCTAAATTAATTCTTGACTCATTTAGATTTAGAGGAAAAAATTTTTTCAATTTATTTATCATAAACGAAGAATTTTATATTTTTCATTTTGAAAAAAAGAAATTCGAATTTATTCTTGATTTCTTAGGTATTTTACAAGTCTACAGTATAACATAATCCACTCGTGCTTATACAATAACGCAATCATTCGTGAATAATAATAATAAATTAAACATAGATTTATTACATATTTTATCTTATTTCCTTATTAAAACAAAAAACACACGAAAAAAAACAAAAATGCGAATTACAAACAAAAATACGAATTACAAACAAAAATGAAAAAATTTATTAATCTAATGGTAAATATTAAATAATTATTTACCCCGAAATAATTAAGTGTGCGTTGGTAAATTAAATAGAAAAACGGAAAATATTTAAACAATTATTTTCATACAACATATTCAAAATATTATGTTTTATGATACGTTTTATCATATGTTTTATCAAGTTTTATCAAGTTCTAAAAATTATTCTACAAAATGATTTTGCAAAAAATATGCCATACTCAATTATTTTCAATTCAGTAAAGTTTTTCTGTTATTTTCAAACAATTATTGCAGGTGTCATAGTTAAAAAAAAATTTCAATTTTTCCCCTTCCGTTGACACACTCGGTCATTTGGACCCGAATTGAGAATTAATTCAAATAGGAAAATTAGTTCTTTTTTTTATTTTTCTTATTGTATTTTGGGGCGCTTTTCTTGAAAAGGTGTCACAATTATTTATTTGTTTATTTATTTATTATTTAAAAATAGTTAGGAGGGAAAAAAAGTAGTGACGCGGGGGAAAAAAGAGACGCGCAGGCGCAAAGCGGCTGCGCGCGTCTTTCTACCCCCGCCTACTTTCAACTCGCTTTCCTATTGGTGGAAAATGGCGCGCTTATTCAAAATACTTTTAAATATAAAAAAAAAACGTTAAAACAAAAATAATTTATAATTTTTATCCCCGAAATTGAATGCTTTGAAAATTATTATTACAATCATAAAAAAAATTTCTAGTCCTATAATTTAAATAAGTTCAAAATTTGTTGAAGTTTAAAATCTTTATTATTTAAGTGTTTTACTATTTACTATTATAATTCACTATTATTAATTCTATTGTGATTTATATCATTAATTTTAAAACTAACGAAATGATTTTACATTATGACCATGATTTATGTTCGCAATTTGCTTCATCTCGTTTGTGAGAGAACTCTCATGCCATCTGAGCGGCAATTTGAAGAACCATTTTGGCGCGAAATTCAAAAATAAGAAAAATTTAATTAGTATGACAGTAATATATGAAGGTACAATTAATTAATATCTAAAGATTTCTGTGCTTACACAGAAAATAAAAATCAAATTTTTTAAAAGTATTTTACAATCTGGGGAGAAAAGGCGACAAAGCAGAATTTTAATATTAAAAACAAAAAGTTTTTGTTTACTTTAAAAACCTTCCTGTGAAATTTAGTACTATGGGTCAATGTGACCCAGTGTGTCAACATCGTGACAAAAAATTTCTCAACGGAGTAGATAGTGAATAGAATTGGCAGAAAAAAAGATTACTTTTAGCAAAAAAAAAAAACTATTATTACTCATTATAAACTTTATAAAGGAATGAATAGGGTGCTTTTTCGTAATTTGAGAAAAAACTAGAAAATTCACTCCTTAAGAACATTTAGAGACAAATCTCCTCTTTCAGTGCATTTTGGATAATGACGTCTGAGACTTCTTCGCCATTTGTACTCCTTCAAGCAAAATGCACATTTATACAACTGATCTACATCCTCCTGATTGGAATTTTCGCTAGAGTGACCACCTTGTTTCTCCTGAAGATTTGACTGTTTTTTCGATGACTTTTTAGCTTCACTGACGTTCCATGAATTTTGTGCCTTCTTCATGCAATTGGTCTGATGCTGTCTCAAGTCTCGCAGCCATTTGAATTGCTCAAAACAATTTGAACATTTGAAATTCTGCTCGGCAATTCGTTTCGATGATTTCAATGGCAATGGTTCAATCATCACCTTACATTCCTTCCAACGATGTTTATTGGTTTTCTTACGACAAATTCTTTGATGTCGTCGTAAATTCTTCAACCAACCGTATTTCTTGCCGCATAGAATACACTGGAAACGTCCTATTGTCGCATCACGATTTCTCACTATTAGTGATGATGATGATGATGATTTACGATTTTGCTCCGAAGTCGAAGGTGATGGTGGTGGTGAGTCGGCGATTTCAATTTCATCATCTTCGGCAGTGATATCAATTTCAGGCTCCTCTGGATTTCCTCCTCTGGAATTGTCATCATTACTCTCCTCAATGATATCCACCTCGAGATTATTCTCCGATTGATTTTCCTGTGCCATTTTGATTTCACAACGTTGCTGATGACGTTTTAGTCCCTTCTTCCAACGATAGGCTCTATTACAATAGACACATTGAAATTGTGCCTGATCATCGTTTTCCTCGTAATTCTGCACAAAACCACGAACAAGTGGATCGAATGTTCGTCCACAATGGAAACGATGACGTCTCAGGCTCTTCAGTGTTTTATAAGCCTTATTACAACGACTGCATTCAAAGCAATTGTCACAATCTTCCTCGCCGGCTGTTGTCACCTCTGTCAATGGTTCTAGAGCTCCGGCCGGAAAGTTCCAGTCGGAATAGAAATCAAAATTTTCGTAATCTGTTAACAAAAACAAGTCATTTTGTTAGTATTTCATCATTTTTTTTCTTTAAATGATTTTTAGAAGAATATTTTTAAACAGACAACCATGCAGAATCGAGTCTGTTTCTTTAAAAAAAAAAAGAAAAAAAAATTATGTAAAACAAAAATGAAAAACTCAACACTAATGTTTGAAAATAAAATTTTTTTAATGTGGACAAACAAAACCATATGAACACACGTGTAATATGAAAAATTAGATATAAAGAAAAAATTTGGTTTTTAACACAAAAAGTTTTTTTGAAATTCGAAATGAGTAGATGAGTATGAGTCGAACAGAACGAATGTAGATTTATAAAAAAGAAGGAATACAAGTTTGCAACACTTTAATTTTCATGTGCTGTTAGTAAAAAATCAGATTTTTTTTATGCAGAATTTTTTTATTTTTGTCATTAATAATTTCAAAAGTACATCATAGCATTATTTTTATGCATTTTTTGCAGGAGATTCTTCTTCGTTGACAAATTTCTGAAAATTTCAATTAGAAAATTAATTTTTAAATTAATGTTCTATTATTTGTAATCTAAATTTGTCACATTTTTTCTAAGTCCTGAAAATTATTTACCAGAATTTCGAAAAAATATTAGCCACACTCAGAAGAATTTATTTCAAAGCACCTTGTTACAAATATGGTGTATATTTTAATGTTATAACTGTATTTCATTAGTGGAACTGCTGAATTTTAATGGTACCATCACAATGTAATAGTTTTACCACAGAATTTTAATGGTACCACCATAATTTAATAGTGCTACCATTTAGTTTTAATGGTACCACCATAATTCTTCACTGTTACCACTATATTTTAATGGTACTACAACAACTCTTTATTGATACCATTATATTTTTATGGTACCACAATAAATCTTCGTTGCTACCATTAAATTACAATGGTACTACCATAATTCTTTATTGCTATCACTGTTTTTTAATGGTACCACCAGAATTCTTTATTGCTACCACTGTTTTCTAATGGTACCGACATAATTCTTCATTGCTACTAATAAATTTCAATGGTATCACCATAAATCTTCATTGCTACCACTGTTTTCTAATGGTACCGCCATAATTCTTGATTGTTACCAATAAATTTCAATGGTACCACTATAATTCTTCATTGCTACCACTGTTTTTTAATGGTACCACAATAATTACTCAATGCTACTAATGTTTTTTAAGGGTGTCACAATAAATCTTAGTTGCTACCATTAAATTTCAATGGTATCACCATAAATCTTCATTGTTACCTCTGTTTTGTAATAGTTCTGCCATAATTCTTCATTGGTATCAATAAATTTCAACGGTACCACCATAATTCTTTATTGCTTCCACTGTTTTTGAAGGGTACCACCATAAACCTTCGTTCCTACCATTAAATTTCAATGTTTCCACCATAATTACTCAGTGTTACCATTATATTTTAATGGTACCACCAAAATTACTCAATTGTACCTGATACTACCATATTTACTGATACTACCATATTTTAAAGGTGTTACCGATAAATTTTGATCATCATAACATTATAATTGCATTACCATAATATTTTAATATCATAGCACTATCGTAATTAAATGATACGACAATTGAGTATTTATGGTACCACCATAAAATAGTGTTTACACTAAAATTTAATGGTATCAGCATAAAATTAAAATTCTGGTACCAAAGTAATATAACAATTTTAGTATATCTTAATGGTACCATCATAATTTCATAGATTAACTAATAAATTTTAATGCTGATACCATTAAATTATAGTGATTCCACTATTTTTAATGCTTGATACCACGGAAAATTTATAATGATACCATTACTTTTAATGCTGATATCGTTAAATTATAATGGTACCTTTTTTAATCTTTGTACCACTGAATTTTAATGGTACTGAAATTTTTATTTTATTGCAATGGTACCATATTAGTGTTACCATTTTATTTTAATAGCCCCACAATATTTTAATAGTGGTATCACTAAATTTTAATTGTGTCACTATGTTACAATTGTGGTACTACTAAATTTTAATTGTGACACAATGTTACAATTGAGGGTCCCAATCAAAGGACCGGTTATAAGTTTTTGAGACTCAAAATTCTCGACCTCTAAATAAAAAAAAAGAATTTAAAATTTCAATTTCTTGAAAACATTTCGTATTTGTATAATGATTACCAAAATTATTCTCAAAAAATTGGGATTAAAAACAGTTTAATTTTTGACTTACAGGGCAATGATTTTGAGCTTAAAAAAATTATAACCGGTTCTTTGATTGGGACCCTCAATTGTGGTACCACTGAATTTTAATTGTACCACTATGTTACAATTATTGTACCATTATATTTTAGCGACTCTGTATCTGTCATCTAAAAATAGTTAATTTCATTAGAAAAATTGAATTTCAAATAATAAAATTTTTCTAATTTTTAAGTAAAAATTGTGTCTAGAAACATTTTCAACCAATTTAATTTTATTTAAAACAATAATAATTAGTTTACAAAATATATTTTTTAAACAATTGAAGAGAATTCCCATGTCCGTTGATATTGAAACCCTTTGGTTATTATGCATAATATGAATGATTGGTATTAATTAAAATTAATATTAACAGTTGTAATTGTTGAACTGTAAGGGATATATGAAGAGTTTTAAAAAAATATTGTAGTTACATTTATTTGACAGTATTTTAAAAATAATATTGTAAAATAAATTATGCCATTAATTATATTTATATTAATAATATTGTATTGATAATATTATATAATTAATATTATATTACTGTTTTTTTATTACTGCTGTTATTAATAATAACGATTATTATTAATCATCATCACCATCATTGTTATTCATGCCTTTATTATTATTATAATTATCTAATAATTTGATTTAGTTATCATTTGCCTACTAATTTTACGTATTAAAATATGTACAAGAAAAAAATTACAATTATCTCCTTCTCTCGTAACCATAACAATTATGCTTAGTTTCCTGATGATATTTCAATGAGTCAACCCGATAGTAGCGATTTTTGCATATTGAACATTGATATCTGGCCTCCTTGTTTCCACATTTCATTTGATGGCGTTTCAAACTGTACATCCAGGTGTAGACTTTACCACATAAATCACAAGTGAAAGTACTTGGCACATAGTTTGAAGAATCTTTTGGAATTCCAGGATCTTGATTTGGCGGCGCCCATTCTTCCTCGTTTCCTTGATATGGATTATTGTTTAAGCACTCCGTTTTGGGCCATGTCAGGTTTCCATCATATCCTGCATAGAAGAATGATTTTATATTTTATTATTACTAGTTCATTATTAGTTTATTATTAATTTATTATTAGTTTATTTTTCATTACTATTTTTTTATTATTAGTTCCATTTTTATTATTAGTTTCTTCATCCGTTATATATTCTACTAAAAGAAATAATTTCATAATAATACAATACACCAATATTTATTGTTACCAAGACTTTTTGATGATGGTATTACAAAAATTCTATGGTACCACTATCATTAAATAATTGAATTTTGCTTATTTCGCTGTTTTAATAAGGGACCACTTTATTATAAAGGGTACCACTATCATTAAGAGGTGGTACCACTATATTTTGATGGTACCCTCATATTTTAATGGCGGTACCACTATATTTTGATGGTACTCTCTTATTTTAATGTTGGTACCACTATATTTTGATGGTACTCTCTTATTTTAATGTTGGTACCACTTTATTTTGATGGTACCGTCTTATTTTAATGGTGGTACCACTTTATTTTGAAAGTACCACCTTATTTTAATAGTGGTACCACTATATTTTGATGACGCTTCCTTATTTTAATGATGGTACCAATTTATTAAAAACGATAATTGTTGATAGGAAGTGTTTCCATGTTCTTCTGGTAGTACAACTGTGATATAATGGTACCATTAATCGTGATGCTATTAAGTTTCAATGGTACCACTATTTTTAATGCTGATACCATTGAATTATAATGGTACCAATATTTTAAATGCTGATACCATTGAATTATAATGGTACCACTATTTTTTAATGTTGGTAATATTGAATTATAGTGGTACCACTGTTTTTTAATCCTGATACCATTAAATTATAATAGTACCACTATTTTTAATGCTTGATACAATGAAATTATAATGATATCATTAATTTAAATTCTAATACCATTGAATTATAATGGTACCACAATTTTTTATACTGATACCATTGAATTTTAATAGTACCATTACTTTTAATTCTGATACCATTGAATTACATATAATGGTAACAATATTTTTAATCCTTGTACCACTGAATTATAATGGTACCAATATTTTTAATGATGATACCATTAAATTATAATAGTACCACTAATTTTAATGCTTCACTAATAAATATTCAATGATGAAACCATTGTATTCTAATGGTACCACCATTTTTCAGTATTGGTACCACCTTTTTGCAATGGTACCATAATTTTTCTTTTCTGCCATAAACTTGGAGTCAAATTTTCAAAATTGTGTCATCCTGTTCTCATGATACTAACGATTTTTAATTCTGGTACCAATATGTTAAAGTGGTACCACTATGTTATAATGGTACCACTGTTCTTCAATTGTGATACCACCTTTTTTGCAATGGTACCACAATCGTTAAATACTGTAACCAAAAATAATTAATGCCATAAATTGATAAACAAAAAAAAATTATGCCGTAGATGATGGTACCACAGATTTTCAAATGTGCTACCACATTTTTGCAAATGCTACTTTATTATTCTAATTTTTTATAGTACTAATAGTAAATTATACAGGGTAAATATTCACAAAAGAGAAATGTATGCAGTTGTTTATAGAACATGTAGATGCAAGGATGATCATAAGGATAAGAATGAAAAATGATAATCAAAATAATGGGTAATTTGCTAAGAAGCAAAAAATAACTGTAAGAAAAGATTTTATATATATTTGTGACAAAATTATGCACATCACTAAAGATTGTCACACTTGCGAAGATATACAATTTACAATACCATCAATATTATATTTTACACAAAGGCTATTTCAACAAACTGTAATAATAAAATTACTAATTGTTCAACATGAGAAAATAATTCTCATGTTCTCAACGTAGAAAGCAATTCATGTTCTTGACATAACTCTCTAATTTTTAATTAGTAAAAATGTTTACTAATTTGAATTTAGTGCTTGACTTTATGCTTTTGAATCAGTAAATTATCTAATTTTACTAATAAATAGTAATTTTCATTAATTTATTAGTAGAATTTACTATTTCAAAAGGCAAAAATAATAAATTAGTAGAAATAACTATTTATTAGTAAAATGATTAAAAAGCAAAAAGTCCTGCATTAAATTCAAATTAGTAAACATTTTCACTAAGTCAAGAGAGTACAATTATTATTTTTCGAGAAAAGAATAATTATAATTCCTTTCACGACAATACATTACATGATGATTCAAAACACACTTGTGCGTGAAACGTCTATTGCAAATTGGACAACGAAATGATTTATTTTTTTCCGACAAATTTTGTTCGGCTGTTTGATTTTGTGATGGAATTTCGTTGATAACTTGTTCTTCATCTTTGATTGTACTCAAAGTTTGGACTTCCTCCTGTCTAAAATTTCCATGATTTTGTGATGGAATTTTGTCGATAAAATGTTGTGTTTCCTCTTTGATTGTAATCCAACTTTGGACTTCCTCCTGTCTAAAATTTCCATCCCTTTGCGTCAATATACTTTGAAGAATTCCTGAAATTTAAAACAATATTTCTGTATTAGCGAGAGATGATTGTTTAAATTACAATATTAGCGAGAATTTAAAATTTAAGTTACAATCATTATTATTATTTATTAGTTTTAAGGAAATTTTTTTATTTATTGCATCGTTTGGAAAAGGAAATTCGTTACTTTTTTTTTTTGAAGTTTTAGGTTGTATTGGAGAAAGTTTTTAGGTTTAACAAAAATCAGGGATCAATCACTTCATTAATTGGACCAAACAATAAAAATGTAATGATTATCATCATCTTATAAAAATTATCATCGTATATTACAAACATTAATACAAATATCAAACACACATTTTTTAAACACATACAAAATTTTTATTCAACTTTTCTTTCTTTTCTCTTTATTTTAGTTTCCTAAACAATAAAATATGTTCTGTTTAGAAAGAAGCGTCTTTTATTGACAAAAAGTATTCGTCGAATGTATTAAAAAAAATAATAATTAACAATAATTTGACAAAGAATCGTATAAAATTAAAAATTTGTTAAAAATAATATCGGCCGAGATTAAAAATATGTATTAAAATATATTCTAGAAAAAACTCACAAAAATCAAAATTATCAATGAAAAAAATTGTTCAAAAAAATTAATATGAATTAGAAATAGTGTTAATTGATATTTACGATAAAATTACAAATACTATACAATTATAGTAGTTAGAAAATTTATACCTAATTAAACTTTTTAATTTTAAAATGAAAATTTAAAACCTAATTACAATTAAAAATTTTTTTTTTTAAATTAAAAATATGTGTAAAATTAAGAATATTTTTTTGCTTGAAGTCGAAATCCATGGACATGATCCATATGTCTTCGCATGTGATATTTTCGCTTGAAGACTTTGTAACACACTGTACAAGCAAAACCTTGGTCCTCTTGATGGTAACCTTTGTTGATATTTTCTGGATAAGTCAGGTAAGGCGAGTTTGTAAAATCGTTCATTATATAACCTGAAAAATAAAATAAAACTATTAGAAGAAAAATTTAATAAATTTTTTTTTTAATTTTTCTTAACAAAACAACATGCAAAATACTTCAAACCAAATGAATAATAAAAATTTCTTTTTTTTGAAATAAATAAAAGTCTGATTTTTTTTTTATTTATATATTCGATAGAAAATAATTTTTTATAGTTACAATTTTTTTTCAATTGTTTAGTTAAAAATTTACCTCGTCGATTTTTTGTCACATTTTCCCATTTTCAGTAAAAAATATTTTTTTATTGAAATTTTTGAAAATAAGAAATGTACAAAAATTGTATACGTGGAAAAGAAACTTTATACCTGGAACAACGATAAGTTTCTCTAGAATAGCGAAAGTGTTATCAAACATAAAAAATAAAATAAAAAAAAAAAAAAAAAAAAAAAAAAAAAATTGCTAATATAGTGAAATTTGTTCCAGTTCTAGGTAGAAATTTTGTTTCGTCTCTAAAATACAAAAATGTAGTAAAATACAAAGAAATAGGTAAAATATATTTAATCTAAGAAATAATTTACAATCTTATTCGAATAAAATTTTTACATTTTTTTTTTTTTTACAGAGAAATAATAGAACAAAATTTCTATTCTATTTTTTTATACACTTTGAATTAGTTTATAATTTACTTTATGAAAAAGGGAGCGGATGTTTCAGCTTCATATGCGATTGCCATCGATGTTTGTGTTTAAATTTCCTTAAACAAATTTCACATTGATGAGATGGTTCTTTGCCGCACTCTATTCTCAAATGTTTATATAAACTTTCTTTCCAAGAATACTTTTTCCCACATTGATTACACATCCAAACAGTTTGAACAGCAGCTAATAAAATAGAAACATCAAAAAAGAATTAAAATACCGAAAGAGAATTTTACAAAAAAATTTTTAATTTTTGCAAAAGTAGTTAAAAATTAACTACTAATAAATAAATAAATACTATTAATTAAATACCCACTTATTATAAATTAATAGTTAATTGAATATCTCAATACACTGTCACCAGTTATAAAAAACAAAAAACTGTAAGAAAAATCATTTCATTTCGAGAAAGTGTGAAATTAGCAGGAAGTAAAAAAGTATTAGTACATTTTTAAAAATATTCTTTTTTTTCAAAAAAGCATAAAAAAAAATAAAATACAAAATTTACAAGTAAAACAGTCAGCTTAGTTTATTTTTCTTAACATCTAAAACTTAAATACATTTCTGTGCATTTTGAGTATAAATTTATTTTTTTACAAAATTTTTTTTTTAACGTGAAATAAATTTTTTTTTTTTTTTATTTATTTTGACCGTCGAGGGAATGAACAATTCTATTATGAGTTGTCCAATGATGCTTGTGCTTAAATTTACGACCGCATACTTCACAGGAAAATGCTGGTTCACGATTGCATTCGACTCGCAAATGTCTTGTTAACGACTCCTTCCATCGATAATGTCTTCCGCACTGGAAACACGTCCACGCTCCCTCGCCAGCTAAAAAAATAAAAAATAAACCAAAAATCAGTTAAAATGGAAAAAAAATCAAAAATTTATGCTTCTTTTTTTTTTTTTTTTATTTAGTCGAAGAAATTTTCAAATATTTACAAAAGTAAAAAATTATCTACAAAAACTACTATTATTGAAATTGCAGATAAAATTTTCGGAAAAAAAAAATAATTTATTTAAGAAAATTGTGTCAGCGAGAGTAAAGAGAAAAGCAAAAGAAAAGAATTACCTTAGTTAAAAATTACTTCTTCTTACTCTGTGATATATTTTATTATTTATTAAAATACAATATTAATATTGAATAATATTAATATAAAATGTTCAATAATATTAATATAAAATGTTAAATAACATTAATATAAAACATTCAATAATATTAAATTATTAATATATTATTAATAAAAATAAAAATCTTTATTCAAACTTATAATTTACAAAAAAAATGTACATTATAGAAATTATCACAATTTTCTTCCCAAATGGACTAAAAAAGAATTATATGAAATTATTATATTTTTCTTCTCCTACAATAGTTTAAAGATAGTGTTTAAGTTTCGTGTGAGATTCCAAACGATGTTTATGCTTAAATTTTCTTCCGCAAATTATACACAAAAAAGTTGGTTCTTTCATACATTCCAATCGAATATGCCTATTAAGGGAGTCTCTCCAGTGATACTGCTTACCGCACAGCTTACAAGTCCAATCCCTCGTACTACGATATGCTAAAAAATCAATTTTATATTTAAAAAAAATACAACATATTGTTTTATTTTTACATTCTCGTACGAAAAAGAAGGTCTTGGATTTTTCTTTTAATGAAAATAAAACTGAAGAAAATTCTTTAGACAGAAGGCACACACACACAAATTAATATAAATATTGTTTTTTAAAAATTTATTTTCAAAAAATTTTTAACATTTATTAGGAATTTGAGACAACGTATTATTATAATATCACACATAATGTACAATGTACAAAATTTGACGTAGGGATCTGAAATAGTGGTAGATTATATAATTATTACATATTAATGTAACGGAGTAAACATTTTTTTTTTCTTTTTTTTTTGAAATATTAATAGAAGATTATTTTCAAATTCAACTATTTATAAAAATAACAACTAACTATTTATAAAAATTACAACTTGAATTCTTCATCCAAAATTCAATAATTTTGTTGTTGAAATTTTTAAATAAAATTATTCAAAACATTAATTAATTTATTTCAAAATCAAAATTTGAATATTATTTTAGCTTTAAAACAATTAAAATATTCAAAGATTTTAATTTGAAAATCTTTTGAAATTTCAAAAAATATAACGCTTCTAATATTTGATTGTTATCTAAAATTTTAACTGGAATTGATTTTTAAATCAATTTTTATGAAAAGTTCTAGAATTCAATTATTTAACATTTTAAACACAAAAATAAATAATTTATTAAATAATTAAATATTTATCAAAATTGAATTGTAAAGAACTTTATCAAAACATTTTTTAATTGTATTCTTGCGACGAATTTTATTAAAATATTTTTTTTTAAATAATTGAACTCTTTTGGAAAATTTTATTGAAATAGTGGATATTGAAAGTAATTAAAGTTCGACAAATTTTTTAAATTAATTAAATTTCTATCCAAGAATTCTATTAAAATCTTTTGAAAATAATTGAATTGTTACGAAGAATATTATTTAAATTTTTGAAAATAATTAAATTCTTTCATGAAATTTAATTAAAAAAATATTGAAAATAATTATTAAATTCTAATAAACAAATTATGTCAAAATATTTTTTTTAATAATTGAATTCATTCGAAGAATGTGAATCAAAATATTTACAATTAAATATTAATTACATTTTTCGAGGAATTCATAAAAAATTTTTTTTTAAATAATTGAAATCCTGCGATGAGTTTTTTTATTTATGAAAATAATTGAATTGTTGCAACGAAATTCATTGAAATTATTTTGAAAATAATTGAATTTTTGCGAATTTTATTAAAATATTTTCTTAAATAATTGAATTCTTTTGGAAAATTTTATAAAAATACTGGATATTGAAAATAATTGAATTTCGACTAATTTTTGAAATTAATAAAACTTCTCAAATTTTTTCTAAATAATTGAATTCTTTCGAAAAAATTTAATCAAAATTTTTACGATTAATTACATTTTTCGAGGAATTCATAAAAAATTTTTTAAATAATTGATTTTTTTTTTAAATTTTATTAAATGTGAGTTTTAAATAATTAAATTCCAGTGTAAATCTAATTATTTATGAAATTGAAAATAATTGTATGTTTGCAATGAATTTTATAAAAAAAAATGCTAAATAATTGAATTCTTTTGGAAAATTTTATTGAAATACTTGATATTGAAAATAATTGAATTTCAACTAATTTTTGAAATTAATTAAATTTCTACTTAAGAATTCTATTAATATCTTTTGAAAATAATTAAATTATTACAAAGAATTTTTATTTAAATTTTTGAAAATATTAAAATTCTTTCGAGAAATTAAAAAAAAATTGAAATTGAATTAAAAATAATTGTATTGCTGAGGAGAATTTTATTAGTTTCTAAAAATAACTGAATTCCTGCGAAGAATAAAATTGTATTATTTATAAAAATAATTGAATTCGTGGGAAGAAATTTATTATTTATGTAAATAATTCAATTCTCTCGAGAAATTAAAAAAAAAATGAAATTTTATTAATAATAATTGAATTTTTGCGAAAAATTTTATTAAAATACTTGAAAATAATTGAATTCTTGAGAAGAGCTGTATTAAATTATTTTTTAAATAATTGAATTCCTGCAAAAAAAATTGTTATTTATGAAAATAATTAAATTCTCTCAAGAAATTAAAAAAAAATTGAAATTGTATCAAAAATAATTGAATTCCTGAGAAGAATTTTATTAGTTTCTAAAAATAATTGAATTCCTGCGAAGAATTGTATTATTTACAAAAATAATTGAATTCTTGCTAAAATCTTTATTAAATTTTTTTTAAATAATTGAATTCTTGTGAAGAATTTTATAAAAATCTTTTTAAATAATTGATTTTTTTCGAAAAATTTTATGATAATTGTGTTTTAAATAATTAAATTCCACTGTAAATTTTATTGTTTATGAAAATAAAAATAATTGAATTTTTGCAATGAATTATTTGATAAAAAAAGTTTTTAATAATTAAATTCCTTTGGGAAATTTTTTATTAAAATAGTAGCTAATGAAAATAATTGAATTTCGAAAAATATTTGAAAATAAGCGCGTCATTTTCTACCAATAGAAAAGTGATTTGACAGTAGGCGGGGGAAAAAAGTCTCGCGCAGGCGCGTCAGCGGCTGCGCGAGTCTTTTTTTCCCGGCGTCACTACTTTTTTTCCCTCCTCTTCTATTTTTTAATAGTAAATAAATAAATGTGACGCCCTTCCAAGAAAAAAAAATCTGCTTTGAAGATTTGTTAAAATTTGTAAGTGTAAATTACTTTAGGCGGAAAAAAATTCCAAAGCACTTTCTAAAAAAATTTAACTCCGTTCTCAATTACCATTTTTGTTATAATAACTCCATTATTTCAAATCCCTTATGGAAATTTACATATGAATCGAATGTATATAAACCATATAATTTTCTACAAAAAAAAAATTGTGTACATAAGATACTATTTTCTTTTTTACAAAAAAGAAATGTTTTTTTAAAAACATTTTGAGAATGCATATAATAAATGTTTTTTTTCTTTTAAATAAATAAATAACAAATATTTTTTTATTTGTTACAATTTAAATTCTGAAATATTTAGTCACGAATTTTCACGACAGAATCTATATATATAAAAGTAAAAACTAAATGAACTTTTTGTTAGATCTTGCGAACATAAAAATGATTTGTACAGAAATTTTTTTTAATTTGTTTCTTTTACTTCATGAAATTTCATCCAAGGAAAAAATTTCCAATTTTTCACAAAATGGATTTTTCGAATTCGAAAATAAATTTTAATAAAAAAAGTATATGAATTAAAAAAAAAAAAAAAAAAAATTCCTGATCTAAATTAAATCTAACTGATGCATGCACTTTGCATGTGACTGCCATCGATGTTTGTGTTTGAATTTCCTTCCACACACGGGACAACAGAAGGTTGGTTCTTTTTGGCACTCAACACGACGGTGATTTTGAAGTGATCCTCGCCACGAATATCTCTTACCACATTGAAAACAGACCCACAGCTTCCTCATTGGGTCTGAAAAAGAAACACTTTCATCAGTAAAATATACAATCATAAAATACAAAATCAAGTATAAAAAAATATACAATTAAACTTTTCTTTTTATTTTTCTTTTCGTTTATTATACAAATAGAGAAAAACAAGTTCGAATAAATTTAATGTTAATGTTAAACAATGACTTATTGTTAATACCAGACGTAACATATCCTAATACACAGAAAAAAATATTCTCTAATTTTATTCTTTATCTATTCATTTTAATCTGAACTATAAAAGAACAAAAGATTTAGCAGCTTTCAAAACATTTCGAATAAAGAATTACACGAAATATTGTCATTAATCAATTTAAAAAAAAAAAAAAAAAAAAAAAAATTAATACAAAACAATAATTTGAGTTATAAATCAATCCATTCAATATCAGATCGTTATTCTCTGAACAATAATTAATAATTAATAATTAATAATAATAGAGTCTGGTCGAGAAATAATTAGAGAAGATAATTCCAAAAGATTATTATATACTTTTTATTATTAACAAGATGATTGCATCTCATATTTATGTATAGAGGTTTGATGTTTATTCAAATGATGTTTGTGCTTGAATCTTCTACCACAAAATGTACAGGGGAATTTCGGTAATATTCCACACTCCATTCTTCTGTGTAAGCTGAGGGACTCTTTCCATTTGTAGCTTTTTCCACAGTCACACTTCCATAATACTGGTTTGAAGTATTCATAAGGACCTAGGAAATAATAGTAAATTTTTCGTTTTAGTAAAAATTTATCCAAAAAAGGCCATTTTCAATTTTTCAAATTAACAATTTTTTAATGATATAATTTTTATTATTACAATTTTCGAGAACTAAAAAGAAACAGACTCTATATTAGATCTAAATTATTAATGCAGACTAAATACCACAGTTTTTTTTGTTAAAAGTTGCAAAAAAAATTTTTAATTCAATTCTCAATAAATTATAAGTTTTGGTTACTTCAAACAAAAATTAAAGCAATAATACTAAAAAGAAAAATACTAATAATTCATGTTGTGAAATGTATTTAAATGTTTATCTGAATAGAAAAAATATTAGCTTCTTTTAAAATCTCTACCGAATCTCTCATTCTCTCCTTTATTTTAGGGTTTATTGTAAAAAATGTTTCATCTTCAGAATTATTTTTTTTTATAAACAAAAATTATTGGGGAAAAATAAAAAAAAATTGTTTTTTGTAAAAATAAAAGCTACTTGTTAGATAAAATAATAAAAACTTCATATAGTTATTTTGTTAAATTACATTTAACAAAAAAAAATTATATTTAACAAAAATAAAAAAAAAGGTAAAGAAATTTAAAAAAAAAATTTTTTTTAATTGTTTTTTATTATTATATACGGTTTTATTTATTTCCGGCTATTATTGTCCATTTTTGAAACATATAACAATAAAAATGTGTTGTCTAACAAAAAGGGGTATAAAACATTTATAATATTCACTTTTAGAAAGCTCTTTTAATTTCATAATTTGTACAAAATAATCTTAAATCTAATCTTAAGTGTAATTTTACTTATCACATTGCGTTGTATAATTTTATTTATAATATTATTTCATTATTATTTATTATTTTTAATTTTATTTATTTCTCTAGTTCACTGTTCACTAAATGTACATATACACAAATGCAAGTTCGATCGATAATAATAAACATTGAGGTATAAAAAATAAAGAACGCGAGAGGCCAAAAAAAGCACATCAGGGCGATAGAAAGAGACAGAGAGTGTCTAACGGCCCCTCTTCTTTCTCTCTCTAGCGACGCATGCGCGAAGCAACTGCGCGTGCGCTACTTTCCTATTGGTAGAAAATTGCGCGCTTATTTTCAAATATTTTTCGAAATTCAATTATTTTCATTAGCTACTATTTTAATAAAAAATTTCCCAAAGGAATTCAATTATTAAAAATTTTTTTTTATCAAATAATTCATTGCAAAAATTCAATTATTTTTATTTTCATAAACAATAAAATTTACAGTGGAATTTAATTATTTAAAACACAATTATCATAAAATTTTTCGAAAAAAATCAATTATTTAAAAAGATTTTTATAAAATTCTTCACAAGAATTCAATTATTTAAAAAAAATGTAATAAAGCTTTTCGCAAGAATTCAATTATTTTTATAAATAATACAATTATTCTTCACTGGAATTCAATTATTTTAAAAATAATTTTCAGTGAAATTCGTCGCAAGAATTGAATTATTTTCATAAATAATAAAACTCATCGCAGGATTTTAATTATTCTTAAAATAATTTTTTAAAAAATTCCTTGAAAAATGTAATTATTCGTAAAAATTTTTGATTAAAATTCTTCGAAGGAATTCAATTATTTTTGTAAATAATACAATTCTTCGCAGGAATATTGAATTATATTAAAAATATTTTCAATGAAATTCGTTGCAAGAATTCAATTATTTTTATAAATAATAATCAAACTCTTCGTAGGATTTCAAATATTTTTCAAAAACGAATTTTTAATGAATTCCTTGAAAAATATAATTAATCGTAAAAAATTTGATTAAAATTCTTTGAAAGAATTCAATTCTTTAAAACAAATTTTTGATATAATTTGTTTATTAGAATTTAATAATGATTTTCAATACTTTTTTATTTAAATTTCTCGAAAGAATTTAATTACTTTCAAAAAATTAAATAAAATTCTTCGTAAGAATTTTATTTAATTTTCAATCTAAATTTTCCAAAAGAATTCAATTATTAGAAAAAATACTTTAATAAAATTTGTCGCAAGAATACAATTAAAAAAAAAAATTGGATAAAGTTCTTTATAATTCAATTTTATGAAATATTTAATTATTCAATAAATTAATTATTTTTATATTTAAAATTAAAATAATTGAATTCTAGAACTATTTATAAAAATTGATTTAAAAATCAATTTCAGTCAAAATTTTAAATAATAATTGAATATTACAAGCGTTATAATTTTTGAAATAATTAAGTTTTAAAAGATTTTTAAATTGAAATTTATGAAAATTTTAATTCTTGTAAAACTGTAAGAATATTCAAATTTTTATTTTGAAATAAATTCATTAAACTTTTGAATAATTTTATTTAAAAAATTTCAAGAAAAAAATTATTGAATTTTTGAAGAATTACAGTTGTAACAATTAATTTATTTTTCCTTCCATTATAATATTTATAAAGAAAATTTTTTATATATAATTTATATAATTTAATTTCAAAAAGGCCTTGCATTTAAATGATTTGAAATATTTTAATTCCTGCCAAAAAATAAATAGTTATTTAAAAATTTATTTAAAAAAAAACATTATTTTATTTTTAAATTCAATTGAATTTAGGAATGATGAAAAAAAATCTATCAATGACGGTCGTAGGCAGCTCTGCGCATGCGTCATTAGAGAGAGAAAGAAGAGGGGCCGTTAGGCACACTCTGTCTCTTTCTGTCCGCTTGACTCGGGTCCCATTTTTATACCTTTATGATAATAAAAATAATAATTATTATAATAATTACAATTTTAATAATAATACTAAAAATGGCACTTTAATAAGAAAAAATATCATATATTCAATTCTTTTTAAATTACATTTTCTAAAAATGCAAAACAACTTAAATCATCACTGTAAATATAATACCAATTGTTATAAATATAAAATCAATAAATAAAAAAATGAAAATTTCTTTTAATTTTCTTTTTCTTCAAATTTTGACCCGAGAGTATTTTTTTCAAAACTATTTCGAAATAATTGATTTGAATAAATTTTATTAAAAAAAAAAAAATAAATAAAGAAAAAATTTATTATAAAAGATTTCCATGAACATTAAGTACATGTCGCTGAAAATTGGAACGTTGCTTGAATGCTTTTTGACAATATCGACATAACCAGGTTGGTAATTTTCCACATTCTTCACGAAGATGTCGGTTTAACGTCGATCTATTCAAATACGATCTGTTACATTTCGAACAGGGAAATGGTTTCTCAACTCTATTTCTCGTATAGTTTCTGCTACCTGCAAATGAAAAAGCAATTGTTCGTTAATAATTTTGATCAATAATATTATCTTTAATTTTTTTTTTTTTTTTTTGATAATAATTACTGCACATGAAAATTTTTCTAACACGAATTACTAAATTTTGAATTTATACCACAAGAAAAAGGAAACTAAAATTTATAATCAAAGTATACTTTCTAATTCACAATATAGTTATTTATTGAAAAAAAAACTACGAACGTTTTAATGGAACTTAAAAAATATAATTTATTTTATCTTTATAAATTATTTAGCAATAAAAAAAATTTTCTAGCAAATTTTTATATTTATAAACTTTTTAGTTATTTTACAACTCTACAAAAAACTTGAATATTAATTACAATTTTGTACTTTAAAAAAAGAAAGGGAGAGAAATAAAAAATATTCTTCTTTATAATTCGATTTATTTTCAATTATTCATTATTTTTTACATTATTTTTCCTTCCTGACCAAAATTGAGTTTGAAAAAAAAATTCAATTGTTAAAGAAATAGTTGCAGGAAGAAGCACAAAAAATTAAATTGCTATAACAAATATATACTAATTTAAAAAAAAAGACAATTTTTAAAAATAAACAGAAATCGAAAACATAAAAATTTAATTTGTTTTCAAAGAGCTAAATTAAAATTAAAACGTAGCTACTACAATATTTTCATTATATAAATTTCAGTCTCGTAAATACTAAAAATATTTAAAATGGAATCTAATATAAAATGGAAATATTATAAATTTAGAATATAGAGAAATCGTATACTTAAAAGTATATTAAATAAAAAAATATTGGAAACGGTTCATTTAATTTCCTTTCTACATTCAATCTATAAAAATTATTAGATCACAAAATTTAAAAAAAAAATGTACGAATATTTACAAAAAATGTATAATAATTATTGCAATGAACCATTTCTAAAAATTACTTTCTTTTTTCCTATAAAAATTACTTTAATCTCAACATTCTTCTACGCTATTATTATTATTTAATTTTTTACTATTAAGTTATATTACATAACTTATTATACAAAAACATTTTTTTGTACTACAAAATTCTTGTAATCAATACAAATATACAATTCGCTGTTCTCTGCGTCGTCGAAAAAAAATGTCTAAACATTTTTCTTTTTCAATTTTTAGAATTGGAAGATAAATTTTTAAAATCTCGCTTAAAGTCGAAAAATAAAATTTCAATCTCGAGTAAAAATATTTATTTTCGAAAAGAAAAGAAAAGAAAAGAAATTTTCAATTTTCATATTTTTTAATTCTTTAGATTTTGCTTTCTAATTATTAGTAATTTTTCAATTTTTCAAATTTTCACGATCAACACGAATTCTTTTGGAAAATTTTTTTCGAGTATATATATTTTTACTTTTGAGTATTACAAAGCAAAAAAAGATTTCTTAATTAAAAAAAACAGATAATATTTATCTCTATATATTGTCAAATCGAAGACTTTGTTTTACAATATAATTTTTGATTAATTTAATAAACTTCAGTTTTACGTTCAATTGTGATTCATTTTTTCTGCAAAAAAAAAAAAACTCAAAAACTCGCGAAAGAAAACAAGAGGAGAAAAATTGTCAATATAAAGGCATTGTGAATAATTATTTTAAATAAAAATAATTAAATAAACTATAATTTAAGTAAACAAAATTATTTATTATTTATAAAAATAATTAAATAAAATATAATTTAAGTAAAAAAAATTATTTATTATTTATAAAAATAATTAAATAAAATATAATTTAAGTAAAAAAAAATGATTTACAAAATGGACAAAAATTTATAGTAAAATTGAAAGCACAACATAAAAAAATTTATTGAGTTAAAAATTGCATTTTCTCTAGATCACGAGTGGGAAAAATAGTGAAATTGATGAATCACAAAATCAAGTGTAAACAAAAGTCAATCTATATCTCTTTAATCACATTTTATCAGTCGCTCCAATTTTCGATTTTGTGCAAAGAAAGATATTTAATTTTCATAATAAAACAATTTTCACTGATATTTGCGAATAATTTAACTTTTTTTTATTCAATAAAATTTTAATTGAATTAATTTAGTTTTTATCAGCTCATCAGAAATTTAGAAAAATATTAACATTTTCAATTCTACAATATGAAGTTCTCGAATTTTGATTTATATTCAAAATTTATTAATTTACTTTTAAATTAATTAATTTATTAATTTACTTTTAAATATTATTAATTTATTAATTTACTACCAAATTAAATAATTAATTTAGCATTAAAATAACAAATTAAGTTACGATTAAAATAATTAATTAATTTACTATTAAACATATTAATTAATTTACCATTAAACTAATTAATTAATTTACCATTAAAATGATTAATTAATTTACCATTAAACTAATTAATTAATTTAACATTTAAATAATTAATTGATTTACATTTAAACTAATTAATTAATTTACCATTAAAATAAGTAATTAATTTACCATTAAACTAATTAATTAATTTACCATTACACTAATTAATTAATTTACCATTAAACTAATTAATTAATTTAACATTTAAATAATTAATTGATTTACATTTAAACTAATTAATTAATTTACCATTAAAATAAGTAATTAATTTACCATTAAACTAATTAATTAATTTACCATTACACTAATTAATTAATTTACCATTAAACTAATTAATTAATTTATCATTAAACTTATTAATTAATTTACCATTAAATTGACTAATTAATTTACTACTGAATTAATTTAAATTATTATTTATTTTTATTTATTATTTTACTGAATTAATTTTTTCAGTTTTCTATTAAATTTAACAGAAAGACATTTTATTGAACAAACGAAAAACGTTTAATTACTGCAAATATCAACCAAATGATTTATTATAAAAAAATATATTTCTCCGTAGACTTCAAATTTTGCTATTCTATAAAGTAATCTTGGACAATAATTTTTAAATTGTCTTTGATGTTCTCACTTTTTCTACACAGGCAGAAAAAAAAGTTGAAATATCAATTAAAATATTTTAAAATAATTCTGACCGATTCTAGAAACACGTTTTGTTATCAGAAGTTTTTTTTTATTTAAATGAATAATATTCACTTATTTTCAGTTTTCAAAGGAGTAGAAGGGAATTTTTCGGAAATTTGTAGGTTAAGTGGCGTTGGCGGGAAAAAAAACTGTTCGCGCAGCCGCTATGCGCCTGCGCGAACAGTTTTTTTTCCCGCCGACGCCACTTAACCTACAAATTTAATCCTTCTCACAATAAAACAAAATTTTTTTTGAGTATTTACAAAATAATAATTACACATTCTCTCTATTTTAATTGATATTTTTCAATAGCCTTGATTCGCAAAAAAAAAATTTTTTTTCACCGTCCTGCGTTGAAATTTATTATTTCCTATAAAAAAAAAAGTGTGATAATTTTTCAGAGATCACTTTGACTAATAAAATGCGCCGGTTGGAGTCCATTACTACAATGATTACTGTGTACAGTACTAACGTGGCGTGTGCCATTTGTCTTTTGAGTAAATCTTTTTCCACAAAGATGGCAAAGATATCGCGGTACTTTTTGACATTCCTCATACAAATGCCTCTGTAAACTTCCTCTATTCATGTAGGATCTGCTTCCGCATTTATGACAAGGGAACGGCTTATCTTGAACTTCATTGAACGGTTGGACAATATTTATCCTCGATAAAGTCTCTACAAGAGGATAATAATAAATTTATATTAAAATTTTTATTGTGTATGTCAAGAATATATTTCGAAATATTATGTTAAACATTACGTGGGGTCTATTTAAAAATAGTGAATTTTTTTTAGGGAGGGAAAACTACTACTTTATTTCTGACAATTTTTACTAGACTTCTGTTCATTTTTCTAATTAAAAATAATTTTTTTTTACTAATTTTACTTATCGTCCTTATTTACACAGAATGTGCCTAACGTCCCCTCTGCTTTCTCTCTCTATAGGCGCATGCGCATAAATGACAACTGTCACCAGAAGCAACTGCGCCTGCGCCACTATTTTCTCATTGGTAGAAAAAATCCCGCTCTTATTTAAATTGCATTTTAATACATTTAAATATCAAAAGAAAAAAAAAATTTTAAATATCAAGTTTATAATTTTTATTTACCTGTTCAACAAGTTTTTTTTAATTGTACTTTTAAAATCTTTTATTTTCTTTATTTTCTTTATTTATTTTCCATTTTATATTTCATAAACCTAACCTAAAATCTTTGCCCTTGATTTATTGCAGCGTCAAAAATAGTAAAAATTGTCAGAAATATTTTTAAAACCAGGAAATTTAGGCGCTAGTGTAAAAATAGTAAAATTTTACTTTCTTATTTTTTTCAGTGTCAAAATGTGAAAAATTTTATAATTTATATTTTAAATTAAATAAAAATATTAATAACATTTATACCAATGTATATTATATTCTATACTATTTTATATAATATATTATATATTATTTTATATAAATAATATATAAATTTTATAATAATTATATAATATTATAATATAAATTATTTTATACATTAAATTATACATTTATAAAAAAAAACGTTAATTATATTTTTTATGATTTAAATATTAATTTTCAATTATTAATTATTTAAACGAATTGCATTTTAAAAATGCGAATTTTTTGTCAAACTTTCGTAAAATGATACAAAAAAAAGTATTTTCTATTAATTGGGGAATATTGGAATACTTTTCCAATTTTTTTTTGTCAAAGTAAATCTTACCTTACTTTTTTAGTAATTAGCATATCTTCAATGTTATTTAATTCGGAGTATGGTAAAAATTAAAAAGTGTATATGTATTTAAAATAAAAGGAGAGATAAAAATTATTTTATATATTGCAGAAGAATTTATTATTATTTATTTCTGTTCTTCATTTATATTATTCACTTATTGTTTTTTCAAAATTTATTATTTATTTAAAATCGTTTTTTTTATTTTCCGTTTGTTTACCATCGTTTTTATATTTTTGTTTATTTTATTAATTTATAATTTACAATTTATAATTTATAATTTATCATTTTCGTATTTCTTATTTGTTCATTAAATATCATTTTTATTATTGTTCATTTATTATTTATAATTCTTCAATTTATTATTCATTTTTATTCATTTTTATTCATTTTTATTAATTATTTATTATTACTGCGTCTAAAAATGAAAATTTGTCAAATTTTTTAAATATCTTCATGATGATGATGTCGATGAAATATCTTGCATTGTTGATGAAACCTTGAGTAAAAATTAAATTATCAAAGAATTACACTGTTTTATTAATAAAATATCTCCTTTATTGTCAGTCGTAATTATAGTCAAATAAAATTTATAGCAAAAAAAAAAAAAATGATAATGTAAAAATTTCTTCCTTTTTAAAAAAAGGAAAAGAAAAATTAAAAAATTCCACTACTCTTCAAAAATTGACTCCATGAATGTTGATCGCATGTCTTCGATAGTTGGATTTTTGCTTGAATTGCTTTTTACAAATTAAACACGAATATTGTGGTGTTCGATGACATTCGTAACGAAGATGTCGACCGAGTGTGTCCTTCCTTGCATAAAATCTTCCACATTGATGACAAGGGAATTTTTTTTTGTAATTTCGTAATCTTGACGTGAAGACGACTCTCCTGTTTCCTGAAAACATATTAAATTCCGTTAGAAATGATAATGGTGAAAAAAAATAATAATAAAAAAAAAAAATAATAATAATAATAATAATAATAATAATAATGATACTAATAATAACAATAATAATAATATTTATAATAATATTTATAATAATATTTATAATAATATTTATAATAACAGTATTATTAATAATAATATTTAAATAATAATATTAATAATAATACTTTTTTTTATTTTTATTATTAAAATAATACTTGAAAGTATAATCCCATACACAATGAATTGTTAATTGAACATAAATATATACATATTAATTGAGGGTAAGCGAGGATATACAAACTTTTTTGCTATAGAAAATTTGTTAAACTATTTTAAACATTCTGGAAACAAATTTTTATAATTGTCTGTTAATTATGCGAAAGCAGAATAAACATTAAAAAAAAAATTTACAGAACTTTTCTTACTTTTCTAATTAATAACTAATATTTATTTTTATAATAATTTAATGAATCTTACCTTTATTTTAGAGAAACATTCTTCAAAACTAAACGCTAAAAAGAATCATGAAATTTTTTGTTGCATTTTTGAAAATATCTGATTTTCATATAAATGGATAGTAGATAAAAATTGATTATTCGAACAAGTTTATTAAAATAGTTTATAAAACATTATTATAAAATTAACTGTACGTTTTATTTGCGTTGTTGTGTTATTATAACCATTTGCGTTATTGAATAGAAAAAAAACTACTTTTCTCAAAATGTGCATTAAACATATAACCATATTCCATTTCTAAAAAATACAATTCAATTATTAAGAAAAACATGATAACTAATTAGTTTTATTGTTTCATCTAAAATAGATTGGAAATTTTCTTTGGGAGTAAATTATATTGTATAGATATTTATAAATATATTTATTTATCTTCTGTGATGTGTCTCAGTCTTGATTTTGATGACCACTTTTTTCTAATCTTCAAATTGTAGTTCAAGTCAGCCTTGATTAAATCTTCTCTCGTTGTGCAAATTCATTTTTTTGAACACATCATGTGTTGAGGGGATTTTCAATTTTCAAATTTTCTTATGCAACGTATCAAGATGACGACGAAAACTACTTCTTTGCTTAAATCGTTTTCCGCAGAAACAAATATTTCTTGGTGGCAATCCACATTCTTCACGAAGATGACGCGATAGGGAAACCTTCCAGGCATAACTTTTTCCACAGAGTGGACAGACAAAGGCCGATGATGATGATGATGACGATGATGATGGTGATGTTAATGACGATGCTAATGAACTTTTCCTCAGGAAATCAATATTCTGCAGATCTGAAATCAAACAATTTTTTATTAGAATTGGGTCAATTTCTTCGAAATTGGATGATCTTCTTTGCTTTTAAGCGTATAAGAAAGTTTAAAATAGAATTAATTAAACATTTTTATTTTATTATTATTTTCATATGTACAAAAAATATTTTTCTGAAATTAAAAATAAAAAACTAGATTAATTGCTAAGCTTTGGACAATCGGTTAAAAATATATTAGTCTGTGTGATAAGAGATATAAAAGAAAACGTAAAATTATTAATATAGTCGAAATTAAAACATTTTTTTACTTCCTTCACCATTCACCTGATTACAAAAAAAGCGATTTATATAATAATGCGATTATTATTTACAGAAAGTAATTTTTCATTATATGCGAAATAATATAATCTAAAAAAATTTTTTTTTTTTATTATTTGTAATTATTTATTATTAATATTGTTAACAATTATTTATTATTAATATTAATATTGTTAACATTATTAATTTAACCCTGATTTCGTATCGATAGCAAACGATATTTTATAGAAAAAACATAAATTTAAATTATTTCGAAAATATTCATTATTATCTTTATTTTTTTTTTATTACAAAAACTTTTTAACGAAAATTGATAGGTTATACCATAAAATATACAATTATTCTTTGGATATTATTTTCTTACAAAATATTTGGTAATGTGTTTAAATAATAACTTACAAATTCGAAAAAAGGTTAGGAACTTTTTTTAATTTGGTAAATCCTCCATCTTCAAACTGAAATGCAAAAAAAAAAAAAAATATCGAAATATACCTCGTTTTTAAATTTCTGTATTTTCTTTGTGGAAAAAAATACAAAAATTATATTTTCTTTTAGAAAAAATTCCCTAGGGATATAAAAATTGAGAACAGGAGTGTTGTAGGCTCGAGAAAGTAGGCGGGGCAAAAAAGACTCGCGCAGCCGCTGACGCGCCTGCGCGAGACTTTTTTCCCCCGCCTACTTTCTACTAACTTTCCTATTGGTAGAAAATAGCGCGCTTATTTACAAATATTTTTTCGAAATTAAATTATTTTCATTATTTTAGTAAAAAAAAATTTCCCAAATGAATTCAATTATTTAAAAAAATTTTTTTTTATAAAATTCATTGCAAACAGTCAGTTATTTTTATTTCCATAAATAATAAAATTTTCACAGAACTTTAATTATTTAAAACGCAATATTTAAAAAATAACAAATTTTAAATATAAAATTTTTCGAAAAAAATCATTTATTTAAAAAAAATTTTATAAAATTCTTCACAGGAATTCAATTTTTTTTTATAAATAATACAATTCCTTGCAAAAATTAAATTATTTTTAAAATAATTTCCATGAAATTCGTTGCAAGAATTTAATTATTTTCATAAATAATAAAATTCATCGCCAGGATTTCAATTATTTTAAAAAAATTTTTTAATGAATTCCTAGAAAAATGTAATTATTTGAAAAAAAATGGATTGAAATTCTTTTTATATAATTTTATAAAAATTTTTTCTTTTTTTTATAATTTTTTAAAATAATTTTAACGAAAAGAAAATTAAAATTATAAAATTTTTTAGTAAATTTCTTGAAAGAATTGAATTTTTTCAGAAATTTGAATAAAATTTTTCATAATACTTCAATTAATTTCGAAAGATTTTAATGGAATTCTTGGGTATAGAAATTTAATTAATTTAAAAAATTTGTCGATATTCAATTTTCAAAAAAATTTAAAGCTCTTTGCGAAAATTCAATTATTTTTATAAATAATACAATTCTTCGCAAAAATTCAATTATTTTAAAAATAATTTCCATGAAATTCGTTGCAAGAATTCAATTATTTTCATAAATAAAAAAAACTCATCGCAGGATTTCAATTATTATTAAAACAATTTTTAATAAATTCCTGGAAAAATGTAATTATTTGAAAAAAATTTGATTAAAATTCTTCAAAAGAATTCAATTATTCAAAAAAAAAAAAAAATTGATATAATTTATTTATTAGAATTTAATAATTTTTTTCAACACTTTTTCAGTTAACATTCTTGAAAGAATTTAGTTATTTTTAAAAATTGATTTAAATTCTTCGTAATAATTGAATTTTTTTTTAAAGATTTTAATAGAATTCTTGGGTAGAAATTAAATTAATTTCAAAAATTAGTTGAAAGTCAATTATTTTCAAAATCCAGTATTTCAATCAAAATTTTTCAAAAAAAAAATTGAATTATATAAAAAAATATTTTAATACAATTCTTCGCAAGAATTAAATTATTTTAAAAATAATTTCAATTAAATTCGTTGCAAGAATTCAATTATTTTCATAAATAATAAAACTCATCATTCGCTATCAATTATTTTTAAAACAATAAAATTTTAATTGAATTCCTCGAAAAATGTTATTATTTAAAAAATTTTGATTAAAAGTTTTCGAAAGAAGTGAATTATTTAAAAAAATTATTTTCAATATTTAGTATTTCAATCAAAATTTTCCAAAAGAATTTAATTATTTAAAAGAATATTTTGATAAAATTCATCCCAAGAAAACAATTATTCCAAAACGTTTTGATAATTTTCTTTGTAATTCAATTTTGCAAAATTTTGCAAAATTTAATTATTTAATGGATTATCTATTTTTGTATTTGAATAATTGAATTCTCGTAAAACATTTTAATGAAAAGGCCTTGCATTTAATTCATTTAAATTTTTTAATTTCTGCTGAAAAATAATGTATTTTATTTTTAAATGTAATTAAATTTAGAAATTATGAAAAAATTGAGTCGTCGAATATAATTTTTCGATATTTAAAGCACTTTAAATAAACGCGGTTTTTTCTGCCAATGAGAGTCCTAGATCTCTAAATAATAAATATAATTTTAATTTATTTTAAACGACCTTAATTGGATAAATAATAATTTTGACTTTTTTCTTGCCCTTTAATAAATATAATACATAAAAAAATGAAAAAAAAAAAATTTTTTTTTCGACAAAAAAAAAGTGAATACAAACACAATATTTTAAATTTCTTCATTTCTTACAATCTCATAATATTTTCGTTTTCGTGAATAATTTTTATGCGATTTCTCATGACGATGTAAATTCGATCGAACTTTTGTCTTGTAATTACAAAATTTGCAAAAATATTTTGGTCGTTGACCGCATTCGTCTCTTTGATGACAACTCAACGAATTCTTCCATTTGTATCTTCGACCACAGCGATGGCACTCGTATATTTTCAGGTTCGAATCTAAAATAAATTAAAGTTTAGAATTGAAAACCTTCACCAGAAAAAAACAAGAAAGAGAGAGAAGTGAATAAGTAAAGAAATTTTGTACGATAACAGAAAAAAAAAAATATGAAACATAACGTCATTGTAAATAATTAAAGCATATAAAAGCACGCAAATTAAAATGAACAATGACCTAAACAAAAAAGAAGGAACATTAAACTACAAATAATTTACATTTACATCACATTAAAAAAACTATTGTCTATAATAATTAATTTTACCTACTAAACATCGAAAAAAAAGGTTTCACCTGGAAATAATTGTAAATTAAATTGTAAACTAAATTGTAAATTAAATTGTAAATTAAATAGTAAATTTTTACAATAACGAAACGAATTAACTAAAATTACTAATTTTGCTAATTTTTTTTTCGGCAATTTTTTTTTCCGTAGCTGAATAATTTTTTCCGTTTATTAATCATTTAATTTTATCCTCAACTGAAATAATTCAATTACTTAAAAATAATTTACTAAAAAAAATTAAACTTTGGAAAATTTTCCTATTTTATGATCAAAACAATATTCAGAAACAAAAATATTTCTCGAAACATTATTTTTTAAAATAAACTTTGTCTAATACAATTTTTATCAAACTTTACTTGATGAAAAAAATTTATAAACAAAATTTTTTTGTTTGTCACGTAAAAACTATTTTTTTCACATCTACTTCAACATCTAGTAGTAAATTTTGGTTCAATTAAACAAAATTATTTTCAGTACAAAATTATGGAAATATTAATTGAGTAATAATTTATTGAATAGTTTATCAATTAACAATCAAGTGTTTAGCAATTATTACTGAATACATATTATTGTAAAATGCTATTATAATTATTGTAATGATTATTTTTTGTATTGTGAATATTATTAAATTACTGATATTTCAATATTATTTTTTTTATTTTTATCATTTTTTTTCTTTTCTTTTTTTTTCTTTTTCCATTCTTTTTATTATCTTTCTTTTTTATCTTTTTTTTCTTTTTTTATTATTTCTATTATTTCTATTATTTTTATTATTATTATTATTATTTTTTTTTTTATTTTTTTTTTGTTATTATTATTATTATTATTATTATTATTATTATTATTATTATTATTATTATTATTATTATCATTATTATTATTTCTATTACTATTATTTTTATTATATAAATAAGTACGCAAAAAAATAAACATATTGTTTAAAAAAACAGTCATCGCAGTAATAAAATTTTTTTTTTGCAATTTTTTTTTTTTTTTTTGCAATTTGTCAGACTTTAGTTTTTGATTGTTAGTCGAAAAATTGTGAGGATTTTGCTGCAGTGCGCATGCGACATTTTTTCGATGTCTTGACATGATTTAACCAAATGTTAAGTTTCTGAGATGTAAATTCGCATCCTTGGCAGTGAAATAAACTTCCGCACTCGGATCGTATGTGGCAATCCAGTGAGACTTCGTGCTTAAATTTCCGATAGCAAAAATGGCATTGCAATCGACCTGAAAAAAAGAGAAAAAATAATATTAGTATTGAGAAAATTTTCATTGACAAAAAAAGAAAGAAAAATCAATAGTACAATTAAATATTTATCTGCATATATCTTACATCAATTACTGCGGAATATCGAATTTCAATATCAATTACTGCGGAGTATCGAAATTCAATATCAATTACTGCGGAATATTGAAATTCAAATGAAGCACACTGGAAAAAAATTAGGAATTAAATCAAATTAGAAAAATTAAATTAATAATTACATAATTAATTAAATTAATAATTACATAATTAATAAGGAATAATTTTCAATGTAAAAATAAAATTTAAATTTAAATGAAAAAAGGAATTTTTTTTTTGAAGATATAATTCAATTCTTTATTTATCTTTTTTTTTCTTTTTAACATAACGTTATCAGTGGTACACTCGTAATTAATAATAAGTAGTTAATTCACAAAAAACCGTAAACGATTAATCTATTTCATATATTTGTTTATATATAACGCATCTGTTTACAACGGTTTCAATTCTACTCTTTCTGTAACTAATTTGCACTGGAAAAAAATTTCTTCCTTTTAAATAATTAATAAATCGACTATAATTTTTTGTATCAAATTACTCCAATCAATTTTTAATTAAAAGAATTCTTTTTTAATTAATAAACATTGAATGAAAACAAATTTTTTCAATCAATAAATATTGAATGAAAACAAAATTTTTTCAATCAATAAATATTGAATAAAAACAAAATTTTTTCAATCAATAAAATTGATTCAAAACAATTGTTTTAAATATGCAAAAATTTTTTTTTGCAAGAAAAAAAATTTGATTCAAATAAGTCAAGTAAATTGATTATTAAAAAAGAAAACATTTTTTCCACGTTTACTTTGGAATCAATATTATGCTTTCTTTCTATTATATTATCTGTAACTTTCTATAATTTCTACGTCATTTTATATTTCATTTCTTTATGCATTGTTTTTTCACTACGAAACAAACACTATTTCTCTGAACTTCAATTCTTTTTTTTGCTTTAATTTTTATTTTCAAAAAACTTCCAAGAAACTCTTACATACTAATTATTATCTTGATCTCCGTAACTGTTCGTTTGGACTATTTATTATTATTTTGTTTTCTTTGAAAATTGCAAACTCTTTTTTTTTTGGCAAAGAAAAAAAAAGATTTTGCAATTTATGCGGTTATTGCATTATTTACATGTAAAATATTGCAAAGACTTGACACAAAAAGTGTCCCAAAATGAAAATTAATTTCCAAATGTACTTTTGTCAAAATAATGACATTTGAAAATAATTATTTTCAAATGTCATTATTTTGACAAACAATTGGAAATAATTATTTTCAAATGTCATTATCTTGACAAACAATTGACAATTGTCACAAGAATTCAAAAATGAAATATAATTTAATATTGGGACACTTTGTGTTTTATAATTTATAATATGTGGCTTTAAATTAATTATGAGCCATCTCATGTCGAATTGATCACACGACGACTAGAAAAGCTTGTTTTCTTTTTTTTTGGCACAAAAAATCGATTTGATTTTTCACAAAAGAAAAGCGATATAACTAATAAAATTCATCAAATTCACGAAATTCATTAAATACACAAACGCAAGAAAATTAGAATTTCACAATATTATTAAGATTCAAAATGTTTTTTCTTTCCTTGAAAAAAAAATAAATAATGATTGTTCGTTTTGAAAAAATACATTTTTCTATATAAAAATATAATAGAAAAAGATGATAGAAATTTTTTTTCTTGCGTGTGTGTTACAAACATTGAGGTATAAAAATTGAGGACGAGCGTCAGGTGGATAGAAAGAGACAGAGCGTGCCTAACGTCCCTCCCCTCTTCTTTCCCTCTCTAACGACGCGTGCGCGAGCGTCACTGCGCTTGCGCTACTATTTTCGACCAATACGAGTGGCGCGATCGCGCATGCGTCAAAGGAGAGAGAAAGAAGAGGGGACGTTACCCATCTGTCTCTTTCCATCGACCTGATGCTCTTTTTTGTCCTCCATTTCTATAACTCTGCGTTTAGAAATATATCTATAATTATTTTATAATATATAATATTCCAGTTTCCACAGTAATTCATAATATTGTTATACAGTAATAATAATGTCTCACTTCGTACGCATCAGTCTTTGTGCTTCGAACTTTTTTTTTTTTTTTTGGTTTAAGTGCAAAAGTACTTCGTAATTGGAGTTATTCTTTTGTTTTTGCATATTAGCCCTTTGGTATTTTATATTTTTATGTTTTTCCCTCAAACCTGAATTATGTCCCACAATTGGGATTTTTTTTTTTTTTTTTTTGATAAATTGGAAGACGTATTGTCTCCTACTACAATTTGTATCGACCCTGTATAATTACTTTTGTTTTTTTTTGTTGAAAAAATATTTGTACGATTTTCGAGAAAAAATTTTGTTTTTACATTCTCTTTAAAAATGAGAAGGTCTTGTTTGAAAAAAAGAGAAGAAGTTTGTTAAATATAAGAAATCTTGGTCTTTTGTTTTATAGCAGTGTCGATTCAATATTACGGTAAGAGAATATTTTTGCGAGTAGCACAAATTTTTTTTTGGCACAAAGAAGTTTAGAGGAAGAAAAGACGTGTGAGTGGTTTTTTTAACAAAGTGAAGAATAATAGAAATTACTTTGGCCACATTTTTTTAGCTAAATAGTATAAAGTCATTTTGTAGAATATAGAGATTAGAAGGTAATTTTTTGGCAAGACAAATACATTTTGACAGTAAGATAAATATTCTACGTAAGAGTAGATAAAAAGTATTTTTTTTTTTACAGAGAGTGAAACATTTTTAACGTCTATGAGAAATAGCACAAAAGTTTGTGCTCTAAGGATAAGATTCAGTTATTTGACAGTTATTTTCTTTTTCTTTACTTTACGCTTTCATTTTCATTTCCGAAGAAAAAAATTCCTTTGGAAAATTATTTTTACAAAAATTGTTTCCCGCTTAATTTAGCGTAAACACTTTTTCACGTCAAATATAACTGTCTGAGAATCAATAACTGTTTGTCCTACTTTTAAAGTTAGCTAAAAGATGTTTTTTTTATTAGATACTTAGATACACAGAGTATAATTATGATGCCCGTTAAAATGCTCTTGTGAGTCAGAAGGAGAAAGTTGAACAAGAAATTTTAATCCTTTAAGAGCTAAAGTTTCCTCTTGGCCGGTGAATAGAAGAGAAAGTTTCATTAGGAATTGTAGATCGGAAGTTCTTTTAAAAAAAAAAAAAAATTTTCAAAAAGAGTGTTTTTCAAATCATTCCTAATTGTAAATATTTCCCAAGTGCAAATATTTTACATTACAAACTGTAAAATATTTTACATATTTTAATTTGTAAACACTGTTAATATTTTACATCAAAGAGTATTTTTGAATTTTTAATGTCCTTCAGACATTCCTTTTATCATTCACCTGACCAAGATTTCAATTTTAAAAGTTAGAACTCGTTTTTCACATTATACAGATCGCAGTGAATATAGCTTAAAAATTACAATTTATTTATAAATGTTTATTGCATAATTTACATAATAGTATATAATATATATTTTTATATAACTTTTTTTTTTGATTTTTAAATATATTCTCTATTTTTTTGGGCATTCTTCGCCCTATTTTTAGGCATATTCTACGACTAGACAATTCCAAATTAAATTTTAATCACTGTCATGTAATCAAAAAAAAGTCTTTGACATTCTTCAAAAATGCACTTTTAATTCAAAATCTATTACAAAATAATTATATGTAAATACGTTTTCTTCTCAAAATTCATTCATGAAAAAAAAAAAAAAAATTCATGATAATGAAAATTTCTGGATTTTCAATTTATTAGTGAAAGAATCTTTATTGGGAAAAATAATACGTTTTCTTTTCAAAATTCATTCATGAAAAAAAAAAAAAAAAAAATTCATGAAAATGAAAATTTCTGGATTTTCAATTCATTAGTGAAAGAATCTTTCTTGGGAAAATTAATTTTTGGGGAAAAATAATAAATTTTTGTTCTTTGAGACATTTTTAAATAGTTTCTTTTTAATATTTAGTAGAATTAAAAAAAAATTTTTTTTTAATATTTACTAAAATTGAAAAAAAAGTATTTTTTTTGTTTTAAATTGATGGGAAGATTTCAAATGCAAAGTTTAATTTTTCGTCTACTTTACGTCATATTATTCTTGTACTGACTAAAATTTAAACGTATCGTACATACTATTCAGCACTATTATATAGAAAGCTAAAATAGGGGATTTTTTTTTTTTTTATTATAATTTTTGGATTTCGTTGCATCGAGATATTTGATTCCTTGAATGTGTCTCTATCCGTTCTATTTTAATCACTAAAAATTTTATTCGTCGTTTTATAATTTGTCGCTATTTTTTCTTTTTTTTTTTCTTTAATTTATCAATAAAAGAAATTATTCACCTATGCCCTTGTATCTCTTATATCGTATAAAAATAATTAAATCACTTATTTCTGTTATTTTCTATATACCGACAAAAAGACCTCGAAGACAACTTTTTCCTTTATACATAATAATTATTTAGAAAAATTATCATTCACTTCATTAGGTGAATTTTGTCAAAAGTAATTTTTCAAAAGTTTCTTCAAAAGTAATTTTTCATTTTTTTCAAAAGTTAGATTTAAATTTTTCAAAATATTTCTCAAAAGCAAAAAAATTACTTTTCAAAACTGAATTTAGATTCAATTTTGAAAAGTAAATTTTCGAAATTCTTTCATTTTTCAAAAGTGATATCTGTTTTACGGTCAAATTTCGAAAATCAGGTATTACTTTTATTTCTAAAAATAAAGAAGAATTCGATTTTAAAAAAATTCCTCAAGTATATAAAATAGTTAAAAATATATTTCAACTTTCAAAATTTAGAAGAAAGTGAGTAACAAATTTTATCGATTAAAAATTTAATAACATATATTTCAAAGGTCTTTTCTAATCATAACAATCATTTTTTTTTATTTCTTCATTTTTCATTTCTAAAAAACTTATATATCGCATCATCAATTATTATTATTTTCAGGGAGGCAACAAATACTAGCTCTTCGTGCACATTTGCAAAAACAATGGCACACTATTTTCAAAATTCTCTCTCCATAAATAAATGGAGAGAATAAATCAATAAACGAGAATAAATACAGAATTTATTCATCGAATTTATTTATAAATACAAAAAAAAAAAATATCCACGAATTTAAAAAATTTTTTTTTTTCAAAAAATTTTAATTCTCTCTTTCTCTCTCTAGCAGTAAATTTCTATCACTAACTGTCAACTTCTATTGTATTAATTTTTAATTATATTATTAAATCTAAGGCAGAAAATCAAATCGACACAACACCCGAGGTACTCCCCGGTAAAATATTGTCACAGATTCAAATTTGAATTATTTGATTTTCAAAAATTCGTTTTCATTTACATTTTGTAATTTTTGTAAATGAAAAACAAATGTGATGTCACGTTTTGGCTCATTTTTTGTTTTTGATTATGCAAAATATACTTAGATACTAGAAAAAAAAATGCTTTCAAACAGTTAAAGCAAAATTAAAATTTAAAAAATATAAAAGTAATAAATCGTCATGGATTGAAATGACGAAAATTCCGTCATTGAAATGAAGAATTTCGATTTGAAATTAATATTTGAGTGTAGGTACTCAAAAACTCTAGTCATTTTGACTATTGTATCGAAATTCGAAAATATCTGTTAATTCAAAAAAATGCAAGTAATTCGTTTCTCATTGCACGAAATTTGAACAAAACTTTTCTAATTATTACAAATTTTCGGTTATAATTTGTAATTCATAATTTTTAACGTAAAAGAAAAATTCTTCTTCAAAAATATTGCATGCAAATGGAAAAAAAACTTTGTAGAAGAAAAAAATAATGTAATTAGTAAATATTAATTGTGAATAAAAATAATATAGTTATGAATATAATTAATATAATATAATTATAATATTATAATATTAATATAATTATAATATATTATAAAATCAATATAATTATAAAATTATAATATTATAATATCAATATAATAATAATAAAATATCCATGAAAATATTAATTATTGCGAATAATAATAATAATAATAATAATAATAATAATAATAATAAAATTAAGGTAAATATTAATCGTCCTTTTTGTTACGATATCAATACAAAAAAGAGCACTATATCATCTTTGGAGAAGTGGTTGCTATGGCGCATTTGGGAAGAACATGTTAAATGGTATATTATAGAACACACAAAAATATGGCACCTTATTAAACATATTGTTAAACTTATTTTTAACCATTTGGCTTAATTTTATATATATATAAATTATAAACCAGAAAAATGGTATTTTTCCAATAATTCTCAATTTAAAATTCTTAATTATAAAAAAAAACTTTTCAACCATATATAATTGAGAGTAAATAAAAAATTATTTTCATTTGTTCGAATATTTTTTTGGCACATGTTATTAAATATGTAAGAGAAAATAAAGAAAAATTTTTTTACCACACTTGTGGTAATTGTTAGCCTATTGAATAGTAATCTTTACCACAAGATTGTGGTATATTTTTATAAACCTACTAGTAATCAAAATCTTTGCTGTTAAAAATTAAATTTAATTTTTAAAATTTAATTTAATTTTAAAAATTTAATTTAATTTAAAAAATTAAATTTAATTAAAAAAATTTAATTTAATTTAAAAAATTTAAATTAGTGAAAATTAGAATAAAAATTCATTTTGGTGATAAATTTTTTACTACTTTCTGTCATTTCTGCCCTGAAAAACTGAATTCTCAAAAATATAAAATGTCAAGAAAATTATCAATCCTTCCAAAAAATTACATCAGTAAAATATGACTGATTTTTTTATACTCGGCATTTTATTCTCAAAAATTCCATCAGTCGAATATTTCACTGAGAATCAGTGGGAAATTATTCAAATATTGTCACTTATTTTTCACTGATTCGTAATTTTAGAGTTTTCTCGTGGATATCAAATTGAGACAAAATACGAATCAAAAAAAGTTGTTTCGCAACATTTTTGATTCGTTTTTTGTCTCAATTTGATATCCACAGGAAAATTAAAAAAAAAATAAGTTTAATCTTTAAAATTAGTCACTAAAATCAGTGAAATTTCACTGAAAATCAGGTGATCGAAATAGAAGTCATTTTTCACTTTAATTTCCGTCATTTTTTACTGATTGGATAATTAAAAAATTAGTTTCACCGAAAATCTGTTAAAATGGACTAAAATATTAGTAATTTTTTAATTTATCAGTCAATTTGACTAAATATTATTTAAAATGTCTGATTTTCTTCATTTTCAGTCATTTTTAACTGATTTTGAATTATAATTCACTGATTTTAATGACGCATTTAAAAAATTTCGGTAATTTTTTTTTAAAATGACTAAACTCAGTGAAAAATGACTGATATCTGAATAATTTTTAACTGATTATCAGTGAAATTTTACTGGATAATTGAAAAATAAGTGAAATTTTTAATAAGCGTCACTGAAATCAGTGAAAATTACTGATAGTTATTTTCAGTCATTTTTCACTGATTTCAGTCAAATTTTACTAAAACATAAAAAAAATACTGAAATCAAAATTACTAAAACATCAGTACTTTTTAGTTGGACAAAAATGACTGACATTGTAATCATGTTTTACTGATTTTTAGTAAATTTTCACTGATTTTAGTGACGCTAAAAAAAAATTTTTATTTATTTTCCTGATAATTAGTTAAAAACGACTGAAATATTCGTAAATTTTAGAATTTTTTATTTGCCTAATAAATTGGCCTCTGATAATCAGTTAAAATTGCTGGATTTAGTAATTATCAGTTATTTTTAACTGATTTTCAATTATAATTCACTGATTCTAGTAATTCCTTTAAAAATTTTCTATTATTTTTTAAATTATCTAATATCAGTGAAATATGAGTGATATTTGAATAATTTTAAACTGATTATCAGTGAAATTTTTACTAGATAATTGAAAAATAAGTTAAATTTTTTATAAGCGTCACTGAAATCAGTGAAAATGACTGATAGTTATTTTCAGTCATTTTTAAATAATTTCAGTGAAGTTTTACTAGAAAATAAAAAAATTACTAAAATCAGTCAAATAACTAAAAACATCAGTATTTTTTTAGTTGATCAAAAATGACTGACATTACAATCATATTTAACTGATTTTTAGTAAATTTTTACTGAATTTAGTGTCGCTTTTTAAAAAATTCAGTTATTTTCCTGAAAATTAGTTCAAAACGACTGAAATATTAGTAAATTTTAGGATTTTTAAATGTCCAATTAATTGGCCTCTGATAATCAGTTAAAATGACTGATTTTAGTAATTATTAGTCATTTTAACTGATTTTCAATTGTAAATCACTGATTTTAGTGATGCATTTAAAAAATTTCGGTTATTTTCTTAATTGACTAAAATCAGTAAAAAATGACTGATATCTGAGTAATTTAAACTGATTATCAGTGAAATTTTACTGGATAATTGAAAAATAACTAAAATTCTTAAAATGCGTCACTGAAATAAGTGAAAATGACTGATAGTTATTTTCAGTCATTTTTTTTTTTTATTTTTTTTAAGTAATTTCAGTCAAAATTTGACTAAAAAATTAAACAAATACTAAAATCAGTGAAATGACTATAATATCAGTATTTTTTTCATTAGCAAAAAATTTCTGATATTACAATCATGATTAACTGATTTTTAGTGAATTTTCACTGATTTTAGTGACGCTTTGAAATAATTTCAGTTATTTTACTGAAAATTAGTTAAAAACGACTGAAATATTAGTAAATTTTAGAATTTTTAATTGTTTAATTATTTAACTTCTGTTAATCAGTTAAAATGACTGATTTTAGTCATTTTCAGTCATTTTAAACTGATTTTCAATTGTAATTCACTGATTTTACTGACGCATATTAAAAATTTTGGCTATTTTTTTATTATATTAATCAGTGAAAAATGACTGATTTTTCAATAAATTTTAACTGATTTTCAGTGAAAATTTACTGAATAATTTAAAAATAACTAAAATTTTTTAATATGCATCACTGAAATAAGTGAAAATGACTAATTTCTGTTATTTTCAGTCATTTTTAACGGATTTTCAATGATTTTCACTTTAGTGACGTGAAAATGACTGAAATATTTGACAATTTCGTAATTGACTAAAAATGACTGATACTTGAGTCATTTTTAATTGATTTTTAGTTAAATTTTACTAGACAATAAAAAAATAAGTTAAATCAGTGAAATGGCTGAAATATTTGACTATTTCGTAATTGACCAAAAATTACTGATACTTGAATTATTTTTATTTGACTTTCAGTTAAATTTGACTAGAAAAGAAAAAAATGACTGAAATAAGTGAAATGACAGAAATATTTGACAATTTCGTAATTTGCCAAAAATGACTGATACCTGACTCAATTTTAAATTGATTTTCAGTTAAATTTTACTAGAAAAGAAAAAAATGACTGAAATTAGTGAAGTGACCAAAACATCAGTATTTTTTTTCTAATCGACAAGAAATTAGTAAAAAATTTCCCCAATTCGAAAATTAATTCGAATTTTCACTAATTAAATTTTAAAACAAAAACTCCTGAAACTTGATGTAATTTTTTCAACTAAAATCATTAGATTCAAATTTTTGTTCTCTCATTACTACGTAATAATAATAATTTTTTTTTATTCAAAATTTTTCAAGAAAAAAAAAATTTTTGAATTCTTTTTGTTTTCTAGGCTCGCTGATTAATAGTGGCACTGGATTGCGATTGAACATCCATATGGCGATGATTAATATGCGCCTTAAGATTCCTCTCATACTTGGAGCTGAAAGCACAATGTGGACAGGAGAACGATGGCGCCTTTCCACATTCATAAAGTGTGTGACGCTTCAAAATATAGGCATTTTTATAACTTTTACCACAGCGTGCACAATTATGACGACGATCGAGCGCTGAAATATTTATTGGTCGATTATTGTTTCGGCTCACGTGATGCGATGGACAATGAAGTCGCGCTCGTCTCTGCGGTGCCAATGGCGCTGGCACATCGTTTGAATTCCTTGAAATTCTTCTTGTTCCATCAGCATTCCATCCGAGGCTCGCGAAAAATCCTAAAAGACAAAAAAATCCCAAATCGTCCTTCATTAATGAAAAAAAAAAAATATATGTTATTCCATTAAAAAAGGGCAAGCGCAAAAACTTTTTATTCGCAGCGAGAGCTTTTGATTTTTTTTTCTTTTTTTTTTGCAAAAAAAAAAAATCTCTGCTTCACATTACGGCGCGGGCCATGCTAAAAAAACATTCAAATTTTTTTTTTCAAGCTAGCAACAACGAGCAAAAAGAAATGGACATTTTTGGAGATTCTTTGGAAGAAAAAATTTAATTTTTTGTTAGTGGAAAAAAATTTTATTTGCACTGACAAAAAGTTATGGTAATATTTTTTTTCCGAAGGTTTTTTTTTTTTTAATGAGGAATAATGAAATGGTTTGTGTGGTGTTTATGGTTGTTTTAATCGTTTCAAAGAAAACCATTCGTGGAAAGTGGAACAACGGAAAGTGTTAAAAAAAGGATTTTTTATTTTTGCAATTTTGTTCTTTTTTTGCAAATTTTTTCCACACAAAAAAATTGATAGAATCCATTTTTGTGAGTGGAAATAATTTTGAATTTTTCTTCAGAAAAGTCGTTCCTGTAACTTGACCTGAAAAACAAAAATTGTACATTATTATGTAAATAATTAAATAATAAATAATAATAAACAAATAAAATTTAAATACAAGATAAAAAAAACGAAAAACTCTTTTCGAACGAACAATTTTTCTTTCCTTATTATTATTTTTATTATTATTATCATTAGTATCATTATCATCATTATCATTATTGTTAATTAATTTTTATTAAATTTATGTTAATAAATATTATTATTAAATTTTTATTAAAGTAATTCAGTACATTTGGTATTTTCCAGTTTTGTTCTTGAATTTTTTCCTCCCTTGTTCGCTTACAGTCCGGAACACCTGAAAAAACAACAAACTAGTCAGTATAATAGAAACAAATTTGCGTTATTTTTTAAGTAACAAAATTGAAAAAATAAACCTTACCTTAAGGAAAAAATTTTTGTGTTTACAGGATTTAAATCATTGGGCAAGGAATTTTTGCCTTTCTAGACTTTATTTTGCTCTAAATTGTATACAAAGATTGTCTACAGATGAAAAAATTAAATCGATGGAATGTTTGAAAATCAAAACAGAAAAAACGTTACACAAAAACATAATATAAAAATATGGAATGATAATATTTTGCGAAAATCTTAAATAATCATTAATTAATTAAATTTATTAAATTAATTAAATAAACCGAAATTAATTAAATTCATTGAAAAAGAAATTAATTTTATCCGTAGAAATATGAATCGAAGTTGTCGTAATGAAATGATGAGTATATAAATATTTTCACAGCAAAAAAAGCAAAATAATCTAGAAAGATTATTATCATTATTTGTAGAGAGTATATAATTGTTTTTTTTTCTATATAATATTAAATGAAGACAAAAAAAATAATCGTTCGTTGGCAAATACATGGCGAAAAGAATTATTACGAATACAAATATTTTTTTTTCTTTATATAATCGAGGCGCTGAGCGTAATTAGATATTATTTATGATTCGCAATCATTCATGTTCTGTACAATCGAATGATGAATGGATATAAGAGTATCGTGCTTTTTTGTATAATCAATAATTAATAATTAATTAATAATTAATTTTAATTAAATAAAAATAATTAGATAATAATTATTTTTAATTAAATAAAAATAATTAAATAATAATTAATTTTAATTAAATAAAAATAATTAAACAATAATTAATTTTAATTAAATAAAAATAATTAAATAATAATTAATTATTAATCAGTAATCACCGGTTTAATTATAGTAATCACCTGATTTCAGAGCAGTAACTATCAGATTTCATCAGGCGTTTACCATTCGTTAAATTACTTAAATATTCAATATGAGGTACAGTCTTCAATAAAATAAAATGATTCGACGAGTCCTGTGAAAAAAAACAGTCACTAAAAACAGGAACATAAATAAAAATAGGCTCTTTTGCAAATACATAAACATACGCAGTAGATCTATCGAGTCTTACATTTAATTATTGTATCATATGTATAATAGTGTATAATAAATGGCTGTTTAAAATGATAATCAGAATGATCCTAGTAGAACATAAAAAAATTGCCAAACTAGTGGAGGTTATTTTCGAATAAAAACAAATTTTTATTGAGATTTAAATGCATGGAGAAATAAAAAAAGGAAGTGATTTTGTACGAATAGATGAAAGCGTCAAGTCGATAGAAAGAGACAGCAAGTGCTTAACGTCCCCTCTTCTTTCTCTCTGTTTTGACGCATGCGCGAAGCGACTGCGCTCGCGCCACTCGTATTGGTGGAAAATAGTGGCGCAGGCGCAGTGACGCTCGCGCTTGCGTTGTTAGAGAGAGAAAAAAGAGGGGAGGGACGTTAAGCAAACTCTGTCTCTTTCTATCGCCCTGACGCTTCCTATAAACTCGCGTCCTCTACTTCTATTTTTCTACTTGTAAATTATTTCAAAAGTACGGAATAAATTAATAGTAAAAATTTTTAAAATCTCATCTCAAACGAGCGTTTTTAAAGAATAAATTTCCATCTTAAATTCCTCCTCTCATAATTTTTTTTAACCTTTCGACGAAACAAAAATGAATAACAAATTTTTAAAACTATTTAATAACACGAAAGAATTGCACATTTTTTTTTCTTGCACTCGCTGGAGAGGATTTTGTTTTCTACTTTTAAATTTCTTAACTGCAAAAAAAATTTCTTCTTCCGTACTTTTGGAGCACTGATTACATTTATTTATTTTTTTTAATATTAATACCATTTAGAAAATTCACAGCTGAACGCGCCCAGCGCCTCTCTTTTTCTAAGCCTAAAATCTAAGTCGTATTTGAAGGCACTTAACACAAGGCTCTCACATTTCAAAATAATCTACTACTCGGAATAACAATTATTTTTTTTTTTTTTTTATTAAAAAAATTTTTTTCAGAAAATAATTTTAAGGAAAAAAAAATTTCCATGAAATATTTTCCTTTCTATGGATCGGTGGACGAAATCCAGAACAATGTTTTAGAAAACGCACTCCCCCACACAAAAAAAATAATTTTGTATAAATACACTCGACGTAAAATTTTTTTTTTCCAAAATTTCTGTATAGAATCTAGTAATCACTATAATTTTTCTTAAAAATGAAATTCAAAACATAATTTTCCTTATAACGATAGAAAGCTAATTTTATGTAAAAGTAAAAATTAAATATTAAAAATATACGTTTGGCAGTGATGAGAAAACCATTTTTTTCAAAAAAAAAAACGTTTTATATCTAAAACTTAACATCAATTTCTTAAGGCCAGGACAAAATTCGAAAAAAAAATTATTAACTAATTTCGAAATTTAAATTTTCAAAAAAGAAAAATCGAAACTTTTTTCTTCGATTTTATTGAAAAAATAGAAAATATCTAGAAAGCTATCCCTATTCACTTACTAATTATGGCCAAAAAATAGTAAGTAAATCTAATAATAAAAAAAAAAATTTTCAATACTTTTAAAAAAATACCTTTCGCTCGTTTCTCATTTTTTATTGCGTCCATATTCTATTTTATAGAACAAGACACTTCATCGCACAATTCTCACTATAATTAACTTTTTTTCTTCTACAATATATAATAAGAGACAAATTCTATTATACATCACAGAACAAATAAAGCACTGTATCTCTCAAGATACCTAGATGGCGATGCGCCTTTTCTCACTCCAATTGTCTCACTTTTATTTCAATAAATTTCGATTTCCTAAAATATAAAAACATTATAAAAAAAAAAAAAAAAAAAAAATTTCATTTCAAATAAAAAAATAAATTTAGCGCCTAAATATCACGATAAAACGGTGTGTTTTACAAAATAAAAATACATTATTCAATAAAATTTTTTTTTTTAAAAACACACCAAAAAAATTGAAATAAGATTCTACACAATACAAATTAATTAATTACGTCGAGTATAATTAACGATTTATAAATCGCATTGATGGAAAAACTATCATAAGCCTAATTCATAAAAAGCATAATATAAATCCATAAAGTAACCAAACCGAATTTTTTTTTTTTTTTTTTTTTATAATTTTAAGCGAAATAAATTTTGTTTCGCTGTTTTTGAATAATATATAATAAGGATTAAATCACGTTTATAATTTTTTTTTGTAATTTTTTCTTTTCCATTTTTTTAATATAGAATAATCAAATTTTTATAGTTCTGTTAGATTCTTCCCATTCCACCAATCCGACACCTAAATATTTTTTAACAATTTTCTTTTGTTATATAATGATTACAAATAAATTCATTTTTTAATCGCAATCTTATTATATCGTAATTATTGTAATTATTAAAGCCAAATTATACTCGTGTATATAATTCAATAATTAAGATACGAGAACCAATTATTAAATGAATAAATTTTTAGCTCTATTTTCAATTTTTTTTTTTGTATCAAAAATCGAGCGAATTTCGCAATTTTGACGAAAACTATTTTAGTTCTTTTTTTTATAGCAATATTTATATAATTGCCTTTTAGGTTTTCGCGATTCGTTAATATTTTTTTAATTTCTTAAAAATCTTTTTCTTTTCGAATCGCGATTTCTAATTATCGAAATTTATATATAAATGTAGATTTTTTTGATAGTTAGAATTTTTTTTCTATGATAATAATTAGCACTGGAATTACTTATCGATTAGATTAGACCTGAATATATCGTTGTAACAAATTTCCAAGGCACGTTTTTTAGTCTCTTAGCGATTTTTCATTTTTTGCGAATAAAAAGAATATGATAAAATGGTCCTTGATATTTTTTTTCTCTTCGATTTTTTAAACACGTTTTTGTGTTAGTTTTTTTTTTTGAGTTTAACGCTTTTGAAAAATTTCAATTCGTGTAAAAAAATTCTTTTTTGAGACATTTTACATCTCGAAAGCCTTGATATGGACTTTTGACAAATTTTTGACAATTTCAGAAGAAAAGTTTTCAATT